CAAATTATTTCTTCTGGACGTTACAATTATATAACTTTTCTTCGCTACTTTCTCCGATAATCCCTTTTCGTATATACACACCGTCGATATATACAATACCCATATGTCTACAGTTTGCTTTACAAATGATATACTTTACACGGAGTATGAAAATAATATTTTATTTATTGTTTCTTAACCGGATATCTATTTATGTACGGTATACCGTATGTTTCTTTTTCTCTTAATGGGTTTATTGACTTAATTTTTGTGAATCAATAGGTATATCCTAAATATCTGTGAATGCAAAAATGAATGTAGGCCAAAAACGCACTGAATGTTATTTTGACACCGACTGAATAAATAATTTAAAAAAACATCTAAAAATAAAATATAATAATATTCGATTTAATAAAACTTAAAGCAATTTTTCTCTGTAATTCACTTTTCACTTTGTTTGTAGTTTATAAGTAAATAACTTCAAACACAAGATAGATGATTGGATCTCGATAAAAAAAAAAAAAAAAAACATTGTTTTATCGGTAAGAACTACTCAAGACGAACATTTTCAAACAGTTTTGAACGTATCGTTAGCGTATTTTTATTTTAACGTTTTTTAGTGCATTTATGCTTGAATATTTAGTGATTTTTTTTTTTTTTAGGCACACGTCTTCTGACCTAATAACAACCGTATACGCTTAATAATAATGATAAATTATAATTCGTATAATAATGGCGTGTTGTTATAACACTGCGATATTATTCGGTATATAGCCGAATAATTGAACACAACACTATATAATATAATATCATAGTATAATAGATATATATAGTATTATTATATTGGCGTTGCGTCCGTGAAGTTTGATCGCACGTACAATTAATTAGTTTATATGACGTCCACTCTGTAAGGGTTATCTCGTGTAATCACATGGAATATTGTTATTGAAATACCGCGCTTATATTGTATTATTCGCGTTACAACACCTATACGTGTATACATACATGTACATAACATAGAAAAAAAAAAAAAAAAAAAGAGCGTTCGCGTGTATGTTCGTGCACGAAGCATCACGTGAAAACTACTGGACAGATAATCTAATCGGGGAACAAAAAAAAAAAAAGAAAAACAAAATCGGTACGTAACGCCAACGATAATAGTATAGGTATTATACAATACCTAAAGGTAATTATTATATTTTGTTATAATAAATATTATAACGTGATCTGCGGAAAAACACGATCCCGTATAATATGACTGCGGGCGATAATACTCGCGATAGTTTTGAACTTTTACAGCGTGTACACCCTATATATAATAATCGTTTAGATTATTTCCATGTATTTTTTTTTTCTTGTCGATAACTGACAGGCTTCCTGGATAGCGTATTATAATATTTAACATGTTTTACATAATATTTGACGTGTTTCAACACGGATTTACTTTTAAATAGACGCGTGTACAACGTGTTGTTATTGGGGTGAAACCCTAATTGAATTGAATAGCCACTATTTTCCCTGGGCCCAAAGCAGGTGCATTCGTCGATTAAACGGAAACACTGTGTACAAAACGGTAATTTTCCTATAGGTCTCTGAATCGGATTTAGCTTCTGTATTATTATTATCACCGGCTGTGACGAACAAGAATTTTCATACAACTTAGAGTTCAATTTTAGACTGCTTTTAGTACTCTTTATAGTAAAGGGGAGGTATCAAGATATGTTAAATTGAAAACATTTCAAACGCAATTTGAATGTTAGACTTTGATTATTGGAGTTAAAATTTTATTTATTTAGGTACAAAAACTCAGTTTAATGTGTATGAACAATTTAAGAACACGCATTAAACATGTTATACGTTTTCATTATTTGATGAAAACTTTCAACTGTAAGTCTACGTATATTTATCGGTACTTTTAAATTCATAAATCCGTTGGAAAACTATTTGGTTTTTTTTTTTCGTTATTTTGTACCGAAAACCGTTAAATAAAATATGCTTTAAACCAAAATATTCACTTATGCGTATGCAAAATATCGAAAAATATGCAAATATATCCTAAATAGAAGTTTTTTGTATATGTGTATAAATGTCATGAAACAAATTTCTATATCTAGTAATAATAATGTATGCAATACATAGGGGAATCTAAAAAAAAAAACACGAAAAAATCGTAAATATCCTAACAATATTGTTTATAGAATCCAGAAAAATTAAAACTTGATTTAAAATTCTATGTTTTGGGATATATATATATACAGTAACAAATATGAGGGGAATAATACGCCCCCTTAGAATTTTAAAAAATTGTGAGTTAAATTTATTATATAATGGTTTACGTTTTAACGTAAAAAATATAAGTATATAGTAAATTAAACTAATTTCGAGCCTTCTCCCCTACTCCCAGAGTATATTTTCGGTTATGGTCGTATAACTACGGTCCTATAAGCTATTATAACACTAGTTCGCCTCCTCCCCTTAAATGAGCTTCAGATCCGCTATTCTGCATGCATATGTAACTAAAACCTATAAACAGCGGTGTTCCAATAGAGTACTATACAATAGAATACTACATATTGTAATAAGCCGTATAGGTACTCTCAAAATTTTTTTGATATATTTTGATTATTTATTATCATCGACCCGTCACTCCACCTATGCCATTAAAACCATAATAAACCAATATAATAATACGAATTGTATTTATTTCAGTGGTTTTAGCTAAATCATCCACAGTTTCCTTACGATTTATAATGTATTTTTTTTTTTAATTTCGAGTGTTTTATTTCGGCAATTATTATTTGATTTTCTTTATAATATTGATATCTGTTTCCCTGTAAACATAATAAACCGTAGAAACGCTATTATAAAATATCCCACGTACACGACAAAGTATTTTACGTAGTAGTATATACTTTAAAAAAATTTGATGCGAACACCACTGTAGCCTAATAGACAGTGCCTAAACTGCAGTGTCAAATTTTAACCAGCAACAGTTTGCTAGAAAAAAATCTAGCATACAACTTATTTTAATAATAACTATAATCAATCAAATGGCAAAAAATCAATCTTCCGTTAATGCTTTGCTCATACAAATATCAAACTGTAACACCATAAATTTTCGATACGATCAAATTGTTTGAAAAATATTATCTTCAGTAAATTTATCGATGGTACGCGAATTATTAGTAATTTGTTTTCAATAAAAACGTAAAAAATGTTCATTGTAAAATAACAAATTAAATTCAACTGGTTAAAAGTAACCGAAATATTTTATATTTAATACGCCTCTACTGAATCTATTATAATTTTATATTATGAGCAAAGCGTAGAAACTTATGGTTTTATAAAGATGTTAATATTTTATTTTTTTCTTTATTTATGGACAACTTTTCTACCAGAAATTTTGCTCCGATTTTTAAGTGTAGAATCTTTTCTAAAAGAAAATCAGACTGCGGAGGTTCTTTACAGAAATCATTTTTTTGATTTTCTCGAGACTTTTCCCAATCAACGGGAATAACCGGGAAAAATTTTGGGCAACCGAAAAAACCGTAGAAAAAAATAGGAAAATACGTACAATATTAAACAAATATTGTAAAAAAAAATATAGGTTTAATGCCTATGTAATTATTTTACCATAATATAGCATATATATATTGTTGACAAAACAACATTACTATCAACTGACCTTCGCTCAGATTCGTTTTTTCGTTAGCAATGATTTATTTAAAACTATAAGATACGTTTTATACAAAAACACAAGGATGAAAAATCTAAATTTACAAAATATTATTACATTGACACTGAAGAGAAATAAGTGAAAACAAAATTATCTACATAAATATTTTTTATTAATTAAATATTATATTATTATTATCTACAACATCCGTAGGATAACTTAACGATGCGTTAATAATTGGTAACATCAGTTCAGTAAGTTAAATATTGCAATCATAGATATTATCTAAGGTTGGGTAGGCTTATGATAGCTCGCGTATGCACAATAACACCAACCGCCAAAGTTGTAAAAATAACAAAACCATGGTTTATAACGAGTGTCACCTCAGTTAAACAAAAATAATTTTCTTAAAAACTTAATAATATCTTATTCTGTAATAATATAGTAAGGTTATTAATAGATAGTGGTGATAAATTAAATGATTTACTTACGAAAATAGTGTATTTTATGAAAATTAAAGTCCTTATTTACTAATTATAATTACAGTTGAAATTTGAAAAATATAAAAAATATATGTGTTTAATATATATCTGTGGCGTGGTGCAAAAAAAGCATATGTCACATTTTGTGATTGTTGGGAAATGGGCTTTGAAATTTAATTTCCCCATAAGGCTCTGTGTATTTTATTAAATGTTTATGTAATTTTCAATTTTTACAAAAACAAATTTTATTTAGAAAATAAATAATTATACATTTTTTTTTTATTTCTAACTGATTTTAAAAAAAAAAATGTCATTGACCTTTCTTGCACCAAACTACATATATATATATATATATAAACAGTCAATGGGAGCTTCAGCCCCTTAACCTCCCCTGCGTACGTTGTTACCCGGCTTTTTTTCAGATTTAAGAGTCAATATGGCCAAGTCCTGGGGAAATTCGCTCGGTGTTTTTTATACGGTAATCTATAATTTCCAATAGGAAGTAAGTTTTATTTTACAAAAGAAAATTTGGAAATCATCAAACATCATGTTATTAAATCTTGCTTATCAGATAAAATAAAAATTTTAAGAGGAATTAAAATAATTTTGGTGGGCTGTCTCCAAACCACTGCTTATGGCACACTTACACGATTTTTTTATTTTGCTCACACTACGGGTTTGATCTGATGACGTGTCTGGTGAACTAACATCACCCAGAATTGAATATCCAAATTCCAATTTAAGAGAGGGAACGGAAATGAAATCCATAATAATATATGAATAATAAATAATGATTATTTATGTATTTTTAAGTGTGTATCAAATTATATATTATAAATTAGTGTAAAATTAATGATTCGATATTAGCTTGCTGTTACCGATTTCGCACCATCTGGTAGACCTGGTTTTTGTACTTTTAAATTTTTTATAATTCTAAAAATTAAAAAAAAAAACCACGATCAATTACATCCAAATTAACAAAAACACTTAATATAATAACAATAGCAACATACTCTTCGACATTAGTTTTGGTTTCCTCTTCCATGGTATTGCTCAATATTTTTTGTAACTTACCAATCAGATAAGCTTTAACGTACAAAATATAAGTAGAGTACATATAAATATTAATTATCATTATCAATAAATAGGTAGGTATATTACTTTCTGAAGATTTAGGGGCAATTTTGCACTTCTCGTCACCGACTATAGTTTTCCTCCTACCTAAAGAATTTAACTCTTTTATATTTTTGGCTTCGCCGGTCTTCGGGTCAATTGACAGATTCATGTTTTTTAATTTGTCCATAATATCTTTTTCATTAAAAGACACGCAGGGAATTGCAGCCTTTTTTTCCTCTAAATCTTAACAAAAAAAAAAAAACATAAATTGTTCATTAATAACAGTGCGTCGAAATGAAAACTTTTTACATGCGTATCAAATTATATACAGTACAAAATAATATTTTTGAATGATAAATATTGTAAGTATACTAACTTTGGGACGTATGTTCATTTTCATCTTTAGTATTTTTATCTAGTTCCTGTTTTTTGGATTGGTACAACTTTTCACCAACTTGAGCATACAGTTCCATCAATTGTTTTTCAAGAACGTAAATGATACTACGAATGCTTTCTGGATAACTGTAGTCCAATTTCATGCACTTCATATATTCTAACGCCCACTGCACTTGATTTATACCTAAATGTATTATAATATGTTAGCGAAAAATAATGTATACCTCTAACACTAATATATATTGTCGGAGTGTTAGACTGTTTATATAGTCATAATACACATTACATATAAACCTGTTGAGATCCCAAAACCGATATTCGTTTACACGACAACTGCCTTAAGGGATAAATCATACGAATCGTTATAATATAAAAAGAACTTACCACTTCTGATTGTCGGGTCTTTGCCATATACCGACCACAATACCGCGATGAGATTGTCGAATAAAGTTGCAAATGGTAATTGCAATGCAAACTTTGAACTATCGCGATTTTGCGGAGGAACACGAAAACTATATAATACCGGTTTAAATGACTTATTTTGATCTAATTGTCCGAATTCTTTGTCCTCGTTAGCCATTCTGTAATAAAAATCATAATTTTATCAAACGCGTCTAGGCGAAAAATGTTTCGTTATCATACCCAGCTCCGGTCTCCACTGACATTTTTTTTTTATTTTAATGAAAAATTAACTGATATCTGAAATTATGTTTAAAATAATTCAATTTTTAAAACCGTATTACATATTATTTTCTTGTCCAGCGCAAAACTGTTTTAAAGGCGTAACTATATATTTATATAGTATGTGTATAGTGTATGTTTAATTAGCCAGTAACCTACCCAAACAATAAGTGGGAAAAAATGTCAGCCGAAAAAATATATTATTTTTCATATATCAACATTAATATATTTATATTTTTTAAAATAAATATTAATAAAAACGTTTCATAAAAAAAAAAACTGATTTTTTTATACTAACCGTCCGATGATCTTATTATCAACCGTTGATATCCGTTCACTAAAAAAGGTAGAAGGTAAAATATTCGGTGTACTTGTCAAAAAAGAAATTTCGCTTTGCTAAACAAATTTTAAAAATATACTATTTCCTTTCTGCAAATGAAAACATTTTTTATGTAAGCATATTTTATACAACTAGGTAACTATTAGATTTAATTATATACAGAGTGATTGAATTAACATAAAACACTCATGACTGATGTCTGTTTATGTTGAGTGTTTCACGTTGAATCAACCACTTAGTATACATCGAAATAGATAGGTTTAAACAAAATATACCTTTATACTTTAACAATTTAATTAAATCCTATCATTAAAGCGCAATGGCGGAAAAAGTGAAATTTTTCTTATCCATCTTATTTATATACCTTTTTTTTTTTCGTGTGAACTTTTCTACCAGCAATTTTGCTCCAATTTACAATGACAGCGTTTTTTCTAAAAGAAAATCTGATTGGGTAGATATTTTAAGAAGGTCATTTTTCGATTTTCCGCAGGAGGCTTCTCAATAAATGGAAAAATCAGGGGGGGGGGAATGGGAAAACTGGAAAAACCGTAGGAAAAACGGAAAAAATAGGTACAGTATTAAACAAATATTATTAAAAAATTATTTAATAATGTCTATGTAATTATTTTACCATAATATGGCATATATATATTGTTGACAAAGCAACACTATCAACTGAACTCCGCTTAGAATCGTTTTTTCGTAAGCAATGATTTATTCAAAAATATGAGATTGGTATGCAATGGTTTATCGCTGTTTACAGATATACATCACATTTTCCATCTACTACCTTCCCAACTTCTCGCCTACAACAGTGACTGCACCCACGTGTATATCCGTCTTTTTTGTGTTTGTAAGACCGGTAAATTGGCAGTAATAAATATATTTATAAAAATGTGCGAACAAGTACGGTGTTTTTGTAGTGCGATAGGGAGGGATGAAGGGGGTAACGATAAGGCAAAACAATCTTACACGTACAGTGTCTTATTTATAACGCAACAAATATATAAATAAATATGCGTATAAATGCATATAAATTGCATGGTACGAATAGAATTCATATTTCAATGGAATTATAAGAATTTGTTGGAATAAACCCAACACGCGACTGATCCTGGGTCAATTATAATAATAACTCAGACTAACTATTGACTAAACATTGTATTTATTATTTTTTTCGGTACACGACACGACCGCGTGGTTACAGGCGAAAAGCGAGAAAACGATACTATAATATGGACGATTGTATTTTTTGATAATACGATAGTAAAACGACTTACGTCACGCCGCGCTAGTTTTCAGAAAGGTTTGCATAACGATTAGGTACTTTTGCTAAAAAAAAAAAAAACCTCTAAAGTACAAAGTTCATCGGGTTTGTTTTTTTTTTTTTTTTTTTTGTTGTTGTTGTTATTGTTGTCTATTCAGCGTACACGCATTGCACTGCATGTAGGCCGTCCGTTATTTTATTATACTAATAAAGTATTATACCTATCTAATTGCACATCGCGATGTGTAATTCAATAATATATACGATATTGCCCAAACGAAAAATCGTAAATGTTCTACCGACTGGTTCGGTGATAAGGCGAACTATTAATTTTACATTAATCTCTCGCCTGCACGTTGTTTACACACTGCAATAATCGCATTAATAATAATAATAATTTTTTTTTTTTCAATCAAAACTAATTAAGACGCATTCGACGAGTGAACGTACTACGGACGGTACTCCGGGTGTAAATAAAACATATTTTACGAACTATTTCTTTACAACGGTAACCTTGAGGCTTTTTTTTTTTCACCGAGGAAATTTCTACACGATAAAGCTGAAACTTTTCGACGGTGTTTCGTTTACACGCGTTCATATTTAAAATCGTATTTATCAACGAGCTCGCGTTTGTTCGCACGGCCCCTTGACGACATCGGTACGAGCTAATGGCACACGGCCCCGGTCTCTGAGCCGATAGTCAAAAAAACGACCAATTTTCTCCACTGCCGTCATATTTTCCTCTGGCGTTTTTTGTATTCGGCTATTTTCATATATACGGGCATCATTCCCCCCCCCCCTATTTTCGATTCGGCCGTCGTTATCCAGACTCCTATGAACCGTATATATAAGTGATATGTTTCGATTCCGTTGTTGATATTTTTGTCGTTGCGGATTTTCGTTTTTGATTTAAAAAAAAAAAAAAACCCTCGTACAATCATGCATGAGTAATGCGCTGCAGATAATCGTACAAATAATCCATGGTAATGACGAGTTACCAATTCATCAATATATGCAAATTCTGATTGGCCGGTGTATCGATACGAAATGCCAAATGCAGTATTCGTTTGTTTTTTTTTTTTTATCAAAAATATTATCGTTAAATATTTCAATGTTATAATAATATCACGACAACGCGATCACATTACGCGTCATGTGCTCCTTTCAAACAACGACAAAAAAAAACTCCATTTATTCACACACATAATATTAATAGGTACAGTATTTTTTAATTGAAAAAAAATATATAACACGAATACAATACAATTATGTATAGGCACCCGACAACTGCGTTAGGAATGATATTTTTTTTTTAATAAATAAATCGATATTTGAACGGAGAAACGAAGAATCAATTTTTTTCATTAATTTTTGTACAATTTATCTGTAATAATAAAACGATACATTGTATATTAAGTGTATTACCGTTATATAAATGATTCTTTAAAGCATTTATTTTATTTTACTATTTTCTTTTCTGCTTTTGATAGTTACGGTGTTTCACTATAACATCAGTGGCGCATAAATCCATTTGTGTTACCCGTGCAATTTAGTGGGTGGGCGGGTATAATGGTAGATGAGATGAGAATATATAGTACATAATTTTCTTTCGCGGTTACAAACCTACTTGCGTGCTATAATATTATTTATTTCAAACATATTTATCTGTCATATTATCGTTGGATTATGCTTATATGTTTGGAATAATTATTAGTCCTATAATTATAAAACGGGATACAGCAGACCCTGTCACAACCTAGGGCTGGCGGAATTTTCGGTATACCGGTGAGTCACCGATATTTTAAGATACTGGTAGTTGGAAATACCAGTATACCGTAGTTTCGGTAACTACCGATAAACCGATAACTGCTACCGTAGTCTCTGTTACTACGTATATATGACGTATTGTTTATGTACCCGAGCTAGTAAAACTAAAAGGAAAAATGCCCCAGTACTCCGTCTGTTCTGTAACACTTCATCGACAAGCGCACCCATACCCTCCAAAGCCATGTCGTGTCCAGTTTCGTACATCTTAGTCCGTGTTATTTATTTGGTATTTACAAATACCGTGATACCGTATAACCAGTGAATTCCGTATACAACCGGGGAATATCGAATAGTTGGTAAGTGCGAAAAATTCAAATCTGTTACTTAGGTACCTATAATAAACCTTTATTAATAGTTATTATATGAATTTGCATAACATGTTTGATTGAAATAAATTTTAAAAGAAATTTAAATTAGCATAATTACTAATTTATTACCGATAAGACGGTATCTATATTGAAAAACCGAAATAGGCTAAAAACACGGTATTTACCGAAAAATACCGACACACCGGTATCCCGAGAAAACCAGTATGTAAACACATACCGAATGAATAAATTCTACATACCACCAGCTTATTTTCGCGATAATTTCTTCGGATTTTCCCAGATTATTACAAGTTCGCTTCCGCGAATTTTTACCCTTCCGCTATAATAGCTAAGTAAAACTTAAAACGAACTTATTATTAAATTTTCAAGCATTTCTGTTTAGTCCAACAATTTTTCCACGGAGTAACTACCAGATAAAAATTATGTAAAAAAAATCGCAAATTTAAAATGTTTAAAATAGTACAAAAATGGCTCAAAGTTTTCAAAATTTTACCACGTTAAGAAAAGGCAAATATAAATTTTGTTTCCGAATTTCAAGTCTCTATGAATATTTTTAACTGAATAACAACAAACAAACATAATTGAACATAATTTTTTTTCGTAAATTTCCCCAGTTTTTCTCAACTATTACGAAAACCGCTTAAAAAATTAAAATATGACGTTCTTAATGTACTGAGTAGATGAAATTTCCATTCACTAAACGTTTACACGTTACAAGCAGTAGAGCGAGATATCTGGTAGAAATGTCGTACACAATATAAAAAAATTAAAAAGTAAACAAAAATGGTAGAAGCTTCTAACGGCTCTAACTTGTTGAATACAATTGTCTTAACACTAAAAAATTGATTAAGGCAATTGTTTTTTTTTTTTTTTTTTTTTTTTTATTAGAATACGTACAATTTTATTTTTAAAAAGTTAAAACCCTAATCACCATGTTTTTATAACTTAAACATCTATATTTTATTGCGCAATGAAATAATTGATTATGTATTGAACCCCGTCATCACCTACATAATATATGGCAAATCCTGGTTGCGCCACTGACATAATATTATTCTATTAGATTCAAGTATTATTAATTTTAATAGTATTCCATTCGCACTCGAACATTGTAAATAATAAATATACGTATGTATGCAATATAATTCTAAAACAACAACAACGGAACTATACTATACCCACTCTAATAACGATGAATCGATACGTTTGCGAAACGCTATAACGGCTGCAGCTTTTGTGTTATGCACGGCGAATGTGCAGTTGCTGATATGGAAACGAAATTTTTAATTTGTCAAAATGTCGGTTACCTCCGCGAAAACGGCTGCACATAAATAGCGTCCTGAAATAGAAAAAACAAACGGACATGTATCGCACGATGAGTGGACCCCTGTTGCAGGTAAGAAGTCGGAAAGGCGGAGGGAAAATTTAATGTATATCTGTACGCAAAGATTCATTATTGTTAACGAAAATCGATTCTGAACAAAGTTCGGTTAAACATGATTTGAAAGTCCGTAATATTTACGATTTGAAAATAATTCAATAGTTCGTACATTTTCCCGTTTTTTTACCATTTATCATAAAAAAAACTCCGGGAAAATGAAAAAATCAACACCTTTAAGTACCACCCTAGTTAGATTTTCTTTCGGAAAATTTGCTACACTTGAAAATCACAGTAAAATTTTTGGTTGAAAAGTTGTTCACAGATATAAAACATAATAATAATAAATTAATATCATTGTAAAACCTATACATTCCTCATTCATCTAAACTGACGTTATAGAACGTGTAAATGATTATAATCATATTAAAGATGCCGGTGAATTATTCAATTGACAAATAATCTAAATAATAATAGAGTAAGAGAATAAGACTAATAATCAGCTAAAGCGAAATTATTTAAATTTTTCAATTGCGTATAACAGCGACCAAAATCAATATTTTTAACCGATACCAATATAAATGAGTTTCTGTTTACAGTCCTAAAAATAATTCTCTACAAAAACTGTAGAGAAAATGATGTTTTTACGTCGGGACGCAATTCGAATTAAAAAGGGATCGCGGGACGCAATTCGTTTGCCGAGGAGAAAACGACAATATACACCATATCGTTTCAATAATAATGGAATTTGACGGTCGGTCTCAGTCAGGGACGTAGTGCGTAGACCGATCTGCGCAAGGGTGTAGAACTTGAGGTTAAACTCAGAGGCTTTGTACATATAATTTTTTAATTGCTGATAATATCCAATAGATATAATCGCGTTTGTGATAAATAATACACGTAAATATAGAACAATTATGCAATGTACGTTAGTAAATAAAAAAAAAAAAAAAAATCATTATTGTGTAAAAGTAACGGACAAATAATCAAGAACGAATAAACAATAAAAAAAAAAGACAGACATACTTCGCACGTGGGTGCAGCCGCTTTTGTAGGTGGGGAAGTTGAAAAGGTAGAAACACAGACGGGAATTTAATGTATATCTGTAAGCAACGATAAACCAATGCTAACGAAAAAACGATTCTGAGCAAAGTTCAGTTGATAGTGTTGCTTTGTCAACAATATAAGTATCATATTATGGTAAAATGATTACAACAATGTGCGTTTCCGTGGCAAAAATGATTGTTTAAAAAAGATTTAAAACAATAAAAACTTAATAATAACAAACAATAAATAAAAACGGTTGCCAACGAAAACCTTATTTTTAATCTTTCAATCTTTTTTAACCTATGGAACCAGGTTTTTCCTATTATCCCGAATATTAATGAGAATTTCCCATGAATGACCCATTGAAAGTACCACCCGGAGAACATTTCCTCTCGGAAAATGTGCTGTACTTGATAATCGGAATATGGTTTCTCTGGTGGAAAAAGTGTTGACATATATAAAAAAAAAAAAAAAAAAACCTAACATCTTTGTAAAACCAAAACAAAACGTTTGAAAATCTACCAGGAGACATGGTTCCGCGGAGAGGGGGAATCGACTGTACCCCGCACTACGGTCCCGTTAATTTTTAAGAACCCCCCCCCCCCCGGGTCTCCGCGCGCGTTATAACAGAGACGTCGGATTCGCCGCAGCGGTCAAAAGACAACCGTCCGAAAACAATAATAACATAATCGCCGCCTCGTCGGCAAATCGATCGGGCACCGTGTACAACGATCCCGTTGCAAAATAACAATAATAATAACAACAACGCGGGTCGATATGATAACGGAACGAAAATATGATGCACGAGTGTTACTGCGGAGAGCTGGTAAAACGCGACCGTTATCTAATCTCCTGCACGCACGGGTGCGTATATAAACACGACGCCAAACCCGAGAAGCAACAATACGGCACAAGCTGTTGGTATAATTGCACACGCATCGTCTTGACATCACGAGAGACACGCGAATAGCCATATCGCCTTGCACCGATTGTACGAGAACATTTTTCTTCCGTTTGTTTCGATTTTCGAACCTCGCGAATTCACCGGGCCGTTTTGTAACTATACGCAAAACGACAAACCGCACACCACCGACAACCCCCGAAAACGACAAATTTATCGATTTCGATATTTCCCGACGCACGACACCGCACTCAAACACACCACCATGATTTCGAGCGACAACGAAGTGATCGCCGGCGGCAACAGCGGCGACAGCTTGAGCGACCTGCTGGCCGGTTCGCTGGCCGGCGTGGCCGTGGTGCTGATCGGCCAACCGCTGGACACGGTCAAGACCAAACTGCAGACGTTCGGCGGCCTGTACACCGGGCCCTCGCACTGTCTGATGCACACGTACCGCAAGTCCGGGTTCCGCGGGCTGTACGCGGGCACGGGGCCCGCCATGCTGGCCGGCGTGGCCGAGAACTCGGTGCTGTTCGCGTGCTACGGCCTGTGCCAGCAGATGGTGGCCACGATCACCCAGGCGCACGACCCGAAGCAAATGGACACGTTCAGCAACGCGGTGGCCGGTTGCGCCGCGTCGTTCTTCTCGTCCGTCGTACTCTGTCCCACCGAGCTGGTCAAGATCAAATTGCAGGCCGGCCGGGAAATGGCCGAGGCCCGCGGACAACGGTTTCGCGGTTCCGTCTACCAAATCACCAAGGCAAGTATTTTTTTTTTTTTTTTTTTCCGCAATAACCTAACCCTAAGATTATCGCGGAAAATAATTGTAATTTAGCCCATAAGTATTATTATTAAAAAAACTTTCGTGGGCGTTGTTTTTACGAATCTCGCGCGATACGCGAAAAACGAATACGGAATTATTTTTTTTTTTTTTTAACCCTCGGCACGTATCGTTACAATAATGCGAAAAAATTAGAGAGAAATAAAAAAAAAAAAACCCCGATGAATGAACTGTTTAATCAATAAACCGATAACGATAAACGCTGTAGGCACGCGAACCGCGACGGCGGTCAAATAGCGAGTCGCGAACGCGGGTAACGGTTGTGTTTCAGTAACGCGACCGGTTGACCGTTGAACCGCTCGAATTACATCGTTCGACTAGATAGTTTTCTCTTTAACGATTTGTGTACAAAACAATGCGTGACTAATTGTTGCGATACAATGTTGTGGATTGAGAAAAAAAAAACAACATTTTCTACGGCTATAATATTTTTTTAATACTCGCGTTACTCGAATCACGGGAGAAAAAACGAAACGGGTTGATGATTTTTTTTTTTTTTTTTTTTTTTCTCCCAATCATTATCACCTGTATCGTAAATTATCGAGTAGANAAAAACGAAACGGGTTGATGATTTTTTTTTTTTTTTTTTATTTTCTCCCAATCATTATCACCTGTATCGTAAATTATCGAGTAGATCGGAATATGCCAATGGATAGCCCCAAAACGGTTTCGGAAAAAAACCTGTTCCTGCGTGTTTTTTCCCCCGCAGGCGGTGTTTATTTGTACGTGTTTTTTCACTCGATACGGTAGGTACCTTATAATATAACTGCTCATGGCTTTTTTTTTCTTTTTTTTTTTATTATTATCGGCCTCTCCACACTTCTCTGTCGTTGGCTAAATCCTCGCCCAGCATTTGCAGGTCACTCCTGACTCGGTCTGCCCATCTCTGTCTTGGCCGTCCTAGACGCGTTCGTTTCTTTTTCCTATCTACCGGATTGTTTGACTCTGTGCTCTCCATATTGACAATGTCATTAGGTAAACGTTAAAATATCTAATGTAATAATATGGTAGGTATCCTGTTCAATACGCGGGTCGCCACAGCGGGGGTGATAACTTAAAATCAGTGTTCAAATGAACCAACAGAACGTGGTTGGAAAAAAAAAAAATAAACAATAATCGAATTTACTGGTCCGAGAAAATCCGCGATAAACAAAAACGCTGCGTATTGTACGTATAATATTATTGTATTCGATATCGTAAGCGCGATCTACCGGCGCATAAGTCAAACTATATGTCCTGATAAATATGGCTAAAAAATGAAAGAGAGTAATTTATTACTACAATAATTAATAATATTATTCGAAACAGTATTTTGCATTATTTTTCATTTTTCATTTTTTTTTTTTTTTTTTTTTCTATTAATTCCTAAAACAAATAATTATTATTATTATATTTAACAATAGTCCGTGTAATAATAACGGTGTTTATCTTTCGTGTTACAGGAGATCGTGAGGAACTACGGTTTCGGAGGCCTGTTCCGCGGACTGACGATGACGGTGGCCCGCGAGATGCCCAGTTACTTTTGCTTTTTCGGCGTGTACGAGGCGGTCCGGGAAGCGTTCAAACCCGTGGGCCGGACGCGGACCGAGTGCGGCCTGTTGGCCACCATGGCGGCCGGGTCAATGGGCGGCATGGTCCTGTGGACGGTCACGTTCCCGGTGGACGTGGTCAAGTCGCGGATACAGCTGAACGACGCGCTGCCCACCCGCGGCTGGATGCTGTGCATGTTGCGGATGTACCGGGACGAAGGCGCGGCGTCGCTGTTCAGCGGCCTGGCGCCCACGCTCGTCCGGTGCGTCCCGTCGTCCGCCGTGCTGTTCCTCGTCTACGAGTTCACTAAAAAACAATTCGAATAACACGAATACCCTCCCCTACCCCACCTATGGTATTATTATACGCGACAGCGAGTACCGCCGCGCCTATAGAGGTACCGGCGCTCCGTTTTCGCGTAAATTAATCGCGTACATAGGTACCTCCTACCTACTATATTTAATTATTAATCATGATTATTACCTACCTATTAGTTTACTTGTTATTATTAAGCGAATTCGCGGGCGCCGAGTACCGTGGGCCGGGCGCCGCGATTAAAAATAACACACGTGTTCGGGCATGTAGCAACCCGCGAGAAACGGAAAACCCGACGCTCGAGCGTTTAAAATCACTGAAAAAAAAAACAAAAACAAAAACCAAAAAAACCCCACTCGTTAATTTTGTACGATATGCGTCGCAGCATATTTATTATTATTATTATTATTATTATTATTATTATTATTATTATTATTATTATTATTATTATTATTATTATACTTACATTTTTATATTTTACACCTAGGCACCATAAATAATATACTTGTATATAACTACCATAAGTACCTATTCTGAGTTAAGTAGCAGGTATCGACTGTATTACTCGCTGTAAATGATATTATTTATTATGTACGTATACGCGCACATTAAGTGGGCAGTATAGGCAGTGCACACACTGTATAATATTATTGTACATCGTTTAGAATTACGGCTATTTCGTAGAATGGAAAAAGTTTTAAAAAAAAAAAATAAGTCACTTTTTTATATTGTCCTATTTGTGCTCGTACAACTACTACAGTATTACAAAAATTAAGCACTATTAGTGTGTACTTATTGTATAATATACTTGTATGTACTTTAATTCATCGAATATTTACTGCCTTTGCATTATAAATTAAAAGGCCATTAGGGTACTCTATGATATTATAGATAATATAGAGTACTATCTTAGACGTCGGGCTTTCTTTTTTCTTTTTCTTTTTTTTACTTTTTATTTATATCGTTTTAAAATGCAAATAATACCCAATGTTTTTAATATTTTTCAATATCTTCGTACCGTATAGGATTTCGTATAAGTGTCTACTCTATTATTTTTATTATAGTTCATTACAGCCATATTACTAAAACGAATATATTATAATAATGCAATAATACATTACCTACGTGTCTTTTTGTGTACTAGGTATATGATGTTTAGTTTTTTTTTATTTATTTGTTAAACATAATATTATATGATTTTGTATACGTGTATTTTGTATTTTTTAAACACTGTTTTATTATTATTAAAAATTAAAATGTAACATCATCATATTGTATTGTTTTCTCATACACCTACTAAATCTCATGATTATTATATTTCGGGAATCGGGCTAAAGTAAATGCGTTTTATGTACCTATAATATGAATATTTGATTTCGAAATTTCTAGATTAGACGAGTTCAATTCTTTGTTCAATTCAACGATTCGCACTTTTATTATTTGTTATTATTTAAAAACTTAGCAAATTAAATGCTTAGAACTTAGTACTTGATTTATATTAATTATTTTGACGAACTATGAAATTACTCCAGCTTGTCACATGGCATTAGATAAAAAATGTAAAACTCTAATATAAAACTGTATAAACAATAAATAAAGTAAAATAAAATGAAAAACAAAACCATGGTTTAATATATCTGGCTAGAAAAAAAGAATCAAATAAAAAGCCATTAAATCGCTGATGGACTGATTGAAGAAGCAGACAAAAAATTGACTGGTAGGCATAGGTGGACCTAGAGTTTTACAATTGAGTATGCCCAGGCTTTTATGTAGTTATTTTTTTAGAATATAAAGGCGAAACTATAAACAAATTCATTCGCATTTTTCTTCCATAAGACGGTGTATAAAATACATACTTTAACATTGACCGTTAATTCCTGTTCACCACACAATAACATGAGTGATTTCAGTCGATCATGTTTCAGGCCGGGCGCACATTGAGACGCAGTGACGCTGAGCAGCGCAGCATAGTTCTCTGTAATCTGTTAGAACGTACTAGCGCATATTGGGAAGCAGAGCAGACAGTGGCGTAGCCAACGGGTAGGCTTGGTAGGCCCGGGCCTACTCGCTTTATTCCGAAAATTTACACAATTTTAAAACCAAAAATTTGAATTTCTATAGTCATTCCTATTCAAACATTTATATCATTTTATCTGGCCTACCCAGACAAATATGTCTAGCTACGCCTCTGAGAGCAGGCAGGGCAGACCGATACTGTGGGAAAAGATTGTTTCTTCAGGATCAACAGGTTTTTGAGCGGTACACCCAGATGAATATCTCGTATTAAATTAAGAACTTCAACTTTATTGAATTGACTTCAATTTAAGCGGAAGTAGTTAGGCACGTGTGAAACGAGTCGCGCACGGAGACGCATTTGCCTCGCGTTTCAATAAACGCGTCGCGTATCGTACGCGTGCATGCAAAATGGTCAATTTAAGTAATGTGATGTAAACTTATTCTAAACACTAAGCAAAATTATTTAATGTGTATTCATAATGTTTATTATTATATGTTATTTATTAGCTATATCTTTACATTAGGATGTGCCACAGCACACACGACATACCATTTAGATCCGCCGATGTTGGTAGGTATCACCTAGTAGGTAATACTTACTAGGCCTGAACAGTGGATACTGATTAAAACTAACGTAGGCAGCATTCGTAATACACAAAAACGTAAGGGCCATCTTCTCAGCATACAACCAGATCCAGCTGTACAACATATAAAATTATAAATAACAGAATTACCATATTTATTAATTTATTATTACTATAAAATTAATATTTTCAAAAAGATAATTAGAAACAAATTCATATACTTCATTATAAACCTTTAACATAATATTACCCGTGCAATACTCATTGATAATGTTTTAATAAATAAATAATAGTTGTCATAAAACAAAGTCTTTTATATTCAAAACAAATATTTAAACGAAAAATATATAAAATACAAAAAAAGACGTCCTAGGATAATGGAGACGATTGCAGTCACCATTTTCCATTTTACCAACATTTAATTCCTGTTTTTCTCAGGTATTATGAAAACCACTTGAAAAATCAAAAAATGACCTCCCTAAATTACCATGTAGATAAATTTTCTTTCAGAAAATAAGCTACACTTGATACATCGGAGCAAGATTTCTAGTGAAAAAGTTTGCACAGTAAATTGAGGGATATTTTGCGTTTAAAATATTCCGAGGGAGCGATTTCTTGGGTCTCTAGGTACATCCAAAATGCATTACTTTATTCCTTGTTTCCTACTTAATCTTTCATAGATAGAATAGGAAATTTGTCAATAAAAATATTTTCAAGTTTTAATATATAATTATAAAAATCATTGTCTGCCATTATTAAATTGCCGTGAGTAGATAAATCACAAGTTGAATAGGCTTTGAAATAATTATTAAACAAACATTTTTTGTCTAAATTCACTTTAAATTTTTCATAATTAGTGCATATGACGCATGCATGTTTTGATAAGCATTTACTATATAAGTATCCACAAACAAATGTAAATGCATTACATTCAGGTAGAGCTAAGTTTCTATAATCAACAGTGCCAATTTTTAAGGATTTATTAAATTTAAAGGGTGTTGTTCTGGTAAATAATATGCTTATATTAGAGTCATTATCTGAAGTCTGATGGCAAAATACTTCAACTAAATTCTTAAGGCAATTAACACTGGGTGGTGTTCAAAATAATTCAAGCGAAACATTTTTTTTTTTTAAATGCACTGTAGGAGTTGGGTTAATATTATTCCTATTTTTTTGTTGAAATCTACAAAATAAGTTTTCTACAGTCTTGATTTAACTAAGAAGTATACGGAATATCTGGATCATTGAAGAAATTTAATGAACTCCCAGCAATTAAAATTTAAAAGCCAGAAATTAAAATTAACTAACCATCAATAAAATGCATACGCTTTTGGTGCATTAACATTATCAACTTTAACAATAACCCTCATATTCTCAAATAAGTTATAATACAGTAAAATAATTGGGTTTTTAATGCTATTTCATCAGCACACAATGTACAGTCTAAAGCTAAAATTTTAAATTTTAAACTTCAAAAAATCAAAAGGAAAGTCACCAAAGCCTGATTTTAATTCATATTTATTATTAACACGCTGGAGTGCTCTAACAAATGGAAGGCATAGTGAATTTTTCAAATATCTATGTACTTGTGGACCTAGAAAATCTAAAAAATGAATGGCCAAAAAAAGCTAACTGTTTCAGTTCACTTGGTTAACAATAACCCCACGATGACCGATGTAAGCGTATCATGTTAGATTTAACAATATGTAAAAGACAAGAAGATAAACAGGTTTCACACATTTTCAAAAAATATTCAATAGAATTTACACTAACTAGTTAATTACTAAGTTCTAACCATTGACGTGCGCATGAGTGATGCACGTGCACTCACTACATCACCTAAGAACTCAAATTTAAAAAAAAATAACCTAAAGTTGTTAAGATTGTTTGATGAACCCACAAATTTATAAAATCTAACTATATGACTTGAAACTCATATATGAAGCCAGTCGTCGTAATGTAGATTTGACAATGTTTACAAACCGGTGTTAGTAGGTACTAATATTGATAGGTGTTAATATTATTGATATTTGATAACTACCAATATAATAATAATCTATATTTTATAGTTAGTTCTGTTAATAGTTAATTAAACAATTATAAATACGACATTCAACTAGGTAATGGTTTTTAAATTGAATGATATAGAGTGTATTGAAAACTGCCATTTTGAATTTATCATCACGTTATCATAATAACTAATAATTAATAATTAATTAATTATAATATAAAAATTAATAATAATAATAGGCAGATTGTAAACATTGCCCAACCTATACTTGTCTTCCAAAACCCATACACAGTAGAATATAGAGTCGGGTATCTAGTTATATAGTTTCAGTGGCGTGCCCAAGAATTTTCAATTGGAGAGGATGTAGCAAATAAGAATCGTAAATAAATCGTTAGGTCGTCTTCTCTACCCAATTCGAGTATGGTAATTGGTAATTTAATAACCAAATCCTAAAAAAAAGCCAATTTCTAATCAATATGTCGAGCTTTTCCTCTTAATTTGGCTGAAATATATGCATTTCGATATTAGATTTCTCATTTATTTTTTTTTGTATTTTTAAGCGAATGAGGGAGGTATAACCCCTTATCTCCCTCTGCCGTTATATCGTGTATATCTTTAGATTGACCCCTTTTTAAAGAGAGGAGGGACTAGTAAAGGAATGCATCACCTGCGAACAATGTCTGCGCACGGCTATGGTTCTAAAACAAATTTGTCAAGGTTTTTCCGTTAAGAAGTTTCCTGTTTCAATTTTATTTTCGAATGTGTTTTATCTGTTTATATTTTGAGTGTTTGTGAATATTTACTCAAATTCTGACTCTAATGATGGTATATCAGACAACACTGCTGAACAATTAATAAAATTAAAAAATTAGAAACAATTTATATTAGGGTGGTCTTTAAAAATAAAGATCAAAATTTCAACTGTGACGCCTTTAAATTAAGTTCTTATCTATAAAAAAAAAAAACCATATGTTGAAAATTTGGTTACGCTACCTCAACCATAAAACATGCTTCAAGAGGGTTACATTTTGTAAAACGAAGATGTTTTTAAATTCTTTTTTATTTTTACATACAAAAAATTGATCAGACACTTTATTATAGTAAAAAGATTTCTTAGAAATTATTAAAATTGTTAATACTCATAAATAAATATATAAATAAAAAATGTATATATAAAAATAAAAATAATAAATAAAATAATGAATATGTTGCCTGGAGTATTATGATAAGTGTCACCTGTAATATACTTGATGATGAATTTTTAATTCAAAACAGGTGGTATCGGTAATACACTTATCATAATATTCAAGGCAACATATTCATTTTTTTATTTATTATTTTTTATTTGTGTATTTATTTATTGGTGTCAGGAGGGTACTAAGTAATTAGTACTATGGGAATGGCGAAACCAGGGCCCCGAGCCCCACATTGACTTTAATTAGTTGGTGTGGATTGGTCCTCCAGGTTGGAGGTTGTGCATAGGGCCAACAACCCTACCACATAAAAAAATAAATGTTAAGAAACAACATCATTCTAAGCTCGGAATGAAAGAGATAACGGATTTACAAATTGGAACTTGGAACGTGCGATCTTTATTTAGGGCTGGAGCTTTGACGATATCTCTATCGTGTCTTGAGCGATATGAGATGGATATTACTGCTATTCAAGAAGTGAGATGGACAAGTTCAGGGAGCTTTAAGTCTCAAGGAATCAATAGGGTTTATAGTAAAAGAAAATTTACTAAAACAAATTACAAATTTCAAACCTATAAATGATCGTTTATGTTACATAGAACTTGAATGTAAGTGGCACAATATGATTCAAATTAACTGTTATACACCCACTGAAGACAAAAATGAGGAGATAAAAAATTAGTTCTATGATAGTTTAGACATACTATACGATTCTTTACCAGCTGATAAACCGAAAATAGTAATCGGAGATTTGAATGGAAAAATTGGAAAGGAAACGATATATAAACCAACAATTGGATCTGACAGCTTACATGAAGAATCTAATGATAATGGAAATAAGTTGATCTCATTTGCAGCTGCTAGGAATATGTAGTAAGTATTAAGTACCACATGAATAAGTACCACATGTTTCCCGCACAAGAATATTCATAAACAAACATGGATTTCGCCATGTGGATATGTAAGAAACCAAATAAATCACATAATAGTTGATTCACGAATTAAATCCTGTGTAAGGGATGTAAGAAGCATAAGAGGGAATAGCACTATGTCGGATCATTTCCTCGTAAGAGCAAAAATAAATATCAGAATATCAACAGAGTGGCGAAAAACACAGAATTATAAAGAGAAAATAGATAGAAATGCGCTGAAAACATCAACAGCTAAATTATATCAAGAAAAGTTAATGTTGAAATTACAGAATATACAAGAAAGACCAAATATAAGTGAAACATGGAAAGAAGTAGAACAAACAGTAAAAACCATAGCTGAAGAAGTATTTGGGTACATACCAGAAAAACAAGGAAAATGTTGTTCAATGAAGAATGTAAAAGAGCTTTACATTAAAAAGATAGAGCCCGCATGAAAATGCTACATGAACCCAATGAAGATAACAAAAGATTTTTAACACTTAAACAAAGAGAGGTAAAAAAGGTGATTAGAGTGAATAAGAGACTGTGGGAAAAAGAAAGCATACAAACTATAGAAAATAATAGAATTAGCCATTCGAAAATATTTTTTGAAAAAGCAAATGAAGTAAGACATGGCTACAAGTCCAGACCAACGGTTATGAGAAAAAGTGATGGAACCTTTCTAACAGGCAACAAAGAAATCACATGCAAATTCAGATTTATTTACAAAGCTTTTGAACCAGCCAATAATTAATATCACTGAAAAACAAGCCAACTACAGTAAAACAGCTAATCGAAAACCCATCAATAAGCGAAGTACAAACGTGATTAAATATGCTTAAGAATGGTAGAGCACCAGGTGAAGATGAAATAGCATCGGAATGTTTAAAAAAGGGTGGTCCATGCTTACTGAACCAGCTTCATAAATTAATAAACATAATCTGGGAACAAGAGGAAATACCTAGTGGCAAGTATCTGTCCTATGTCCTGTTTTTAAAAATGGAGATATCATGGAGTATGGAAATTATAGAGGGATCTCCCTTAATACATTTTCAGAATATATAATAAACTATGAATGGGCATAGTTTTTCCAACACTCCTGTTATAACACATTCAGGTAGGTAAGCATAAAATAAATAAAATACGAAAATTCCTTTTATTCTTTAAATGTATTTATTTATTAAGTAATATTTAAAATAATTAAGTGGAGACAGACAAACAGTGCAAAATGATTATTAAACTTTAAAATTTGCAATAATTGACAGTAAATACAAAAACACACAGGATAAGTGATTAACACACATAATCTACATACAATAATCTTTAATAACACTATAAAGACACACGGACTTAGTGAATACCATCATCCTTAACTAAATTATTGTTCAGACTGAACATATATTGAACAGTAAAATAACAATATTTTACAATTTAACACATTAAGGGCTTGAGAAATGGGAATATATAAAACAATTAATTAAAGTAAAAATTGTATACATTACAATAAGTTTTGATAATTTCATATACTAAATGATGCAACACTAACTGTAACATATGAATAGTATTAAAAGTATTACAAATAAAATTTATATAAAAGTTTACTACCAATTGTTCATATAATAAAATGAACTCAAATAATAGGGTAACTTAGTTTATATAAACTACTGAATACACTAAAAAAATCATTAGATTCAAATCAATGATTATAAGGAAGTTCACTTAAATTTTAATAAATTTAAAATTAATATTTTATAACTACAAAATAAATTACAATTGTTCATAGTTATAATTAATTTCATCATACATTTGAACTTCTAATAAAAAAATTGATAAAAAATTGTAACTACAAATTTTCAATATTAGTAAATTAATATAACTTATGAGAAACCAGTATATAATCAAAACCAAAGCAAATTTATCCACATAAAATAAAACCAAAAATATTCAAAAACTTAAGTTAATGATATCAAAAAACATTAGAATTTGATAATTTTAGAATGCTATTTAGTAATATAAATATTTTATGAAAACTTTCAATTCATACGATTATTTTTATAATTAGAAATTTATTGATATTAGTTTATTCTGTTTGACAAAAAATGTACATTTTTGTCATAAGTATACTTTTCGAAAAAAAAAATATATTAATTGTGTCAACATTTATCAATTTACCAACATCTAAAAAAAATTTAAGTTAAAATAAGATGATATTAATTATCTACATCAATCAATGTTCACTTATTATAAATGATAGAAATAATCAAAAAAAACTTTAATATTAATACTAAATAAGATTCATCTTATACACACTTATAAAATATTGGGATTTTTTTTTTTTCTAATAACTAAATGTTAAATAGATGGCATTTGAAAAACATAAATTCAGTATGAATTAGGTCATGCTTAGTTTTAATTTAGAAGCTAAGATTTTAGCTCCAGGAAACTTTTGCTTTTGTAACATATCTATTGGCATTTTTTTCAATAAAGATGTTATATTTTGTGCAGCTAACTCAATATTTGATTCCATCATTCTAAAACAAAAACATTTATGTTATTTAAATAAATTGTTGTAATTTAAGATATTTAAAACTTACGCAACAAGCAAAAAACATGCACGATTACATTGAACCCACGAAGTTAATGTGTTTTCAGTAATTAATGAAGACAGAATTTCAGAAAACGTAACTGAAAAAATACCATACATACATAAGTTTATAAATATTTTTTCAATAAAAAATTAATCTTACTGTCATTATTTTTTTCCAAAATATGATCATGACCAATAATCTTTCTAAATACCATATGAAGACCAGCATGTTCATATAAAGGAACTTGTATTTTTTCTTCCTCGATTGTATTGATGGGGTCCACAAAAAACTTTGCTACCGATGTCATTGCTTCTTTGAGTTGTTCTCCTTTAAAAAATAAATTAAGACTTAATAATACTAATATTTATATTTATGGAAAACAATAATCTAATGCAATAGATGTGTTTTAGCGTTGTAACCACCTTTCATAAGTTGGTTACTGTTTCTAGTAAGCTGTTTAGTGAATTTTGTAACCATCTTTTGTTTGATTACTAAAATTTAACCTTGATAAACATGACTAAATAACACTGTGATATTTGTGAATATAAAAATTTTAATTTTAATTCTCGATTTGGTATTATTCATAACTTATATACTAATTATTATAAAAATTAGTTGTTATAATGGAATATTATTTCATTGAATATATTGAAGATAAGGGTCAGTCTAATCAAGTTCAAAATGGAGAAGTTTTTTGTAAAACTGGAGACAAAGTACCTAATTCAATATAATATATCAACATTGTTCTATTATAATTAGTTAATTATCATATGAAATCTGAAAAACACGAGTACACAGCCAAAAAAAAATTTGAAGTTGAAAATTAAATAATGTGAATTATGATTTGTGATAGTGTTATCAAATATATTGGATTCAGTCTACTAACCCGAATATGTGACTGTAAACTTAATAACTTAACTGTTTAGAATGCCAAAACACCTTATTTTTTATGTACTATATACTTTTTTAAAAGAGATAAAATAGTTACTTGAATATTTTAAATACATTTTAAGCCTATATTAGTATTTTATAATACATTTGTTGTTATAAATTATAATACAAGTAGATAGCAATAACTGATATAGTCATCAATCAATACAAGAGGTGTACAGTAGGGATCCTGTACAGATAGTCATTCTCTTCATATTTTAATTGCAAAGTAAGAAATTTTAGATTAAAAAAAATTAGAATTCAATTGAATTATAATTACCATTGCCAGATTTTAGAAGACCAAGTAACAGCATAGCAATAGACCCATTGTTTAACCAAAATTGAGGATTCTCTTTAATATGCTGAAGAAATTGATCGGAAACTGTACATAACAGTTCATTCACACGCAATTCGCTATCTTTTTTACTGTAAACATTTAAAATAATAATAGTATAATATTCAAAGATAATTTACACAATAAATGGCAATATATTACCATTCTTTAATCAAGTCTCCTTTTTTTAACAGCTCAATATCTTGAGGATGAAAATATGTAGAATCTCTCCAAGCTATCAAGTAGAATAATACCCTACGGCCATATTCATTTGTAGCGATTTCATCCATATTTTTTATAATGTCCGGAATTATGGTCTAAAATAATCAAAAATTCATAACTAGTATTTATATTTCAATAATACAAAAACACATCCAATGATAATATCAGACTAAATTTTTTTTTCTTAAAAAAAATTATTAACATTTTATTGTTCACCTTTTTTACTAAAACTGTATCATCAACAGAGTCAAAAAGAGCCAACAAAATTAAATAACCATATTCTGATGTGGCCAAGTCTTGAGTAGCTCCAGTGGTTTTGATTTGCTTCAAAATAGTCTTTTTCTCCTAGACGCATAATTTTTTTGATTACATACATTTAGGTTTATCTCAATTAATAATTATACATAAGAATATGTTTGATGTAAATAAAAAAAGACTATTACCTTAGGGTTCGATGACCAAATTATATACATTGCAAGATAACAACCACTTTTGGAAGTGTAAAATAATTCTATTGGAAATTCTTTAAGAGAAGTAAATAGTTCATCACAATCTTTGCCTTCAGTGTACAGTACGTATTCATAAATCAAATTGTGAACTAAAGAAGTCTGCATAGAGCTCTTTTGTCTAAAATAATATATACAGAAAAAGTTGAGATTAAATGATCTTTAATTTTTGGTATACAATTTATACAATACTATTATTATTAAGGGTTCCCATAAACCATAAACTTATTAAATATGTAGTATAAATATCAAAGAACTATCAGTATAAGATAAATAAATCAAGGATAGAAACTGGTTTCAATAATATTACTAAAAATTCACAATGGAACCAAAAAAATAAATACAAAATTAAATAATTAAAAACAAATTATTCCTAAATATAATAATAATCAGTCTCTTATACAGATATACCTGTTATACCTGTTCTAACAGGACTATTTGACAATTTTACATATAACTACAATGTAAAAAGGTCAAATAGTACTGTTACACCTTGTATAGTAAGCATTTAAACATTTTTTTTTATTAGTACAAATGTGAACTCCATTATTGGGTGAATGTATGTAAATCATACATGTTTTTTTCACTGTTATCAAAATCAATTGAAACTCATTTTGAGTTCTAATATTTATATAAATATGTTACCCCCCCCCGAGGTGAATTTCCTTATTCATAGAATGCAATGATAACTCTAAGAACTCTAAAAACTCTAGAAAGATATCTAATAAATAGGCAATTGTCCACTTTTAAGCTAAATTAGTAATATAAAAATATTTTTAATATTTATAATATACTAACTGACCCGGCAATGCTTCCCCATTGCAAGATTTCTCAAATATTAATTTGCTATTTATTTTCTGGATGATTATTTTTATTTTAGACCACTTTTAGTCATGTCTCCGTGGTAATGTAACCATATAAATTTAGCATCCCCACCGCGGATTCTTCATAATGTTGAAAAAAACTTATATCGGTTGTGTCAATAAAAAAATTGATGCTTATTGCAAATTTTTTTTATTTAATAGATTTAATGTACGAAGCACTAAAATTAGAGTTCGTGTATGTAAATTTTGTAGGTATGGTAACTATGGATGGAACAAAAGATATGAATTATGCCAGTATTTTGATAATTCAAAGACTTAAAAAATTTCTTTGCACTGAATAAGTAGTTTCCGAGTTTATCCCGAACAAAAAAAAGAGACTTCATTTTATATAGTAGTATAGATTATGAATCATTATAAATAAGTTATTATTATTATTGATTCTATATTTTTTTAAAAGTGAATTGAATAAAAAAAAAAAAGATTTAATAATTATAGGCCTAACATTTTTAAAAAAATATGTGTAGCTAATAATTAATTAACAGATATATTATTCAACATTATAATCAATAATCTATACCTATAATACAATATATTATATTACTTTCAACCCTTATTATAAGTTCAGCTGGTATAAAAAGTATTTTTTTTTGTTGACCACTAAGTAAAACTTACAATAAATCTCATGTTAAATTTCAAAAAATTATATACAATTTTGCAAAATTATGTCTATAAATAGCTCAGAAATGGCTCAAATGTATAGAAAATTTTACCATGTCTATAAAAGGCAAATATAATATAGTCTCTATGAATATTTTTAACTAAATTACAGCAAAATTACAAAATTGAAAATAATAAAACTACTATTTTCATAAAATGTTTTTGTTTTTCCCAATTATTTTGAAAATCGATTGGAAAATCAAAAAATTCTGAAGTATTTTTATTTTCTGATACTAAACATTTGAAGGATGAGATAATTACTTTAAAACAAATTTCTTAATATGATCTTTTGTCTTTGCCAATATAATGTCTTTTGTGTTAGGTGAATTCTTCAATACAGCAGAAAATGATAATACATTGGGCGATTCACATAAAATACTTGATGCACCATATAATTCATGCATTATAACATTCTGCTGTTCAAGTGTTGCATAAGTTGTGTAAATCAGATCCATAATTTTAGCAGCATTCTGAATAAATAATTAAATTTTGAATATTTAATACTTCTTCAAAAATAATAACTAATGATTACAAATAGATAATATACTCACTGAATGTAAAGTTAGTTCATAAGTCTTTCCTTTCAGTGAGTTAATCATGATTTTTCTTTGTTCTGCATCACCTCTCTTCAGCATATTTTTTACACATAAGCATGCATACTTTGAGAGTATCATTTTAGGGACATGTTTTATTAACTCATTTATAACTTGCGATCGAATTTCAGGAGTGCCTAGTTTCAACATCCATTGAACTATACGAGCAGTATCATGTGAATATACCATCTATAAATAAACATTAATTTATTAACCTATATGTTTATTATAAATTAACTAAAGCAATCTTACTGTTTCTAAATGAGATTTAGAACACGTAAAAAGTTCCTGCAATAAAGCTTCCTTTTTTTCCTTAGGACAATCATCACGTCGCAAATTTTCCCAAAGTTGTTTAGACTTTTTAACAGTTTCGAAAAATGGACATTTTTGTTGTTTACGTTTAAGTTTGAGCTCCTGTTTTTCTTTTTTAAATTCTTTCCAATTAGGTTTTTCAGTAGGCTTATCATCTACAACAATAATAATAAAAATACTTAATATTAAATAACATTTATAAAACCTTAATCATAAAATACCTTTAGAAGTATTTGGTTTTCCTTTACTTTTCTTTGGCGACTTATTGTCTTTTTCAGGCTGAACATCGGTTTTCTTAGAAGCTTGGTCTTTTTTTGCAGACTTAATTTTTTTAGGTTTTTCAGCATTATTCAATTCTGTTACTTCATCATCAATATCAATTGTTTCTACATTTTCAGATGTCAATGATTTAGTATAGTCTATTGTATTTTCAGTATCCAGTTTTGGGAACTTATTTTTTTTATCATCATTATTAGATAAATTGCGCTTCATTTTCATTATCTAACAATACACTAGTAGGTATGTACTGAAAAAAAAATGAACAATTATAAACATATATACAATATACCTATATAAATATTTGTATATTTGTTAAATAAACTGTAAAAATAACCAAACAAAATAATCAAATAAGTTGATTTGGCTATCAAGAAAAATAGTTAAAACTTTGGATTGTATGTTAAGTGTCACAGGGCTATTTAAAAAATGTAAAAACTTTTTTCTATTAGATATTTTTAAATTATCATTACATCTTAGTGCAATAATTTAAATATTTTTTAAAAAACCTTTACAACTATTTTGTAAATCTAATTTTTAGAAAAATTTTGGTATCAACAATTTTTACTATAGTGGAGCAATCATTTTTAATTTTATGAAATGTAACATTTTTTACATGCTTAATTAAATTTTTTAATTAAATATTACATGATTTGATAATATTTTTATCATATTAATTTAAGCTGTGAGTCTAATAAATGCATTTCATTTTTCATTAATATAATAACATTATTTTTTAAAATTAATTTACCGAATATCTGTCTTTGATTATAAAAAAAATCTTAATTTTTTATTTGTAAAGTAATAAAAGAAAATATTAAATATACATATTATAGTTCAGAGTAAATATTCTAATAGTAAATATTGAAAAAAAAAAACTTAAAAATATTTAATAGAAAAAAAATGTATTTAGTTTGTTAAATAGTACTATCACACTCTGTATAGACTTAAGTATTGTAAATAATATGAAACAAAAAATGGCAAACTTAAGTTTTAAAAAACTGACGTAACTAACAGATAAATAAGTACTAAAAATATGCATTAAAATATGTCAATATAGTAATGTAATAATATTAATGATATTTATAATGAGTCAAATAATTTAAATACAATAAATATTGTACTACATGAATTGCACTTAGAATAAAATTCTTATGCATAAAGTCAAATAAAATTAAACTATTTTCTATAATTTGTCTTAACTGTTTTGTTTCTGCTACATTTTAGCTTTGTTCATTTTAACAAAAGGTGTACACTTTTTTACATAAAATTTACACTTTATACTACATTATAGATAAGAAATACACTACTCATTTTAGCCACACTATCAAATGTGTAGGTGTTAATCTACACCATAGTGTAAATTCTATGTAAAAAAATATACACTTTTTGTTAAAACAAACAAACAAACAAGTTATTATTTCTTTTAGGACTGCTCAATATACTATATGGAAAATACATTGATTAGGTTCTAACTATTAACTTTTAGGACACACGAAACATTATGCAGCATTGTGTTTAACTTACAAACTGTTTATATAGGTAACATTGTAAATAAGGATTTGTGATTTTTTTTGATAAACTCTATGATTAAAATAAAATTATACATTTATTTTTACTGTTAAAAAATAAATACATTATAATTTTGATTTTTTTCCCCTTTATTTACAAGTTCAAACAGAACTACTTACGCTCTGGAATAAATTTTATCATCCGAGTTTTCCTCAAAATTGCAAACAATTTAAATAAAAAAAAAAAAATTGGGTATTTTTCCAATATCCTGACAGCTACCTGATGCCACAAGTTTTAATTTCGTTATCTTGACTACTGTCTTCAAAGCCATAACTACCAGCCAGACTTCATAGTTTAATATAAGTATAATATAATATAGTATAACATTTATTATTAGTTGTTACATAAATTATCACAGCAGTGGAATTATAATATAAAATTTAAAATTTAAAAATTATCAGTTAAAATAAAATATCTGAAATTCTATTTTTGGCAACCCATTTTTGTAAATATTTTTCAATTTTTATTACTTATAATTAATTATACTCATATTTGTATTACTTTTATGTTGCCATGTCTTTGCGTTACATTTCCAAAAAAAGCATTTTCCCCAATGTAGTTTTTTTTTTTTATGACCGCTTTTGCATTCAGTGTTTTAGAAGTAAACCATTCTTTTGAAAAAAAATTCAAGGGCATCTTTTTCACTGTTCGGTAAACTCCAAAGATACATAATTATTTAAAAATAGGAATTTTGTATAAATAATAGTTTCGACTTAACTAACTTTTAACAGTGCAGACAACAGAAATGACGGCTGTCAACAATCAAGATAACAGAATTGAAACTTACGGCAGTCAGGATAACTACCAAAAATTGGACTTATGATATGTATATTTAGTGCACAATATATTATGGTAAAATTTAAAAGTAAAGGTAGACTATAAACTGTAAATTATATAAGAATAAAATGTATAACCATTATTATCTGACATATGTAATAGTGATCGCTTTTTCTGTAGTGGTTTTAAAACAAAATAACAATTTTTAGAAAAAGGTTTTTTTGAGATAATAACAATAGGTAACATGTCAATTTTTTAAAAATGCCTAGTAAATAATTAATAGCTGTTTAACAAAATGTTAAAGAAAATATTTTTATAAATACAGTAAAACTTCCATATAATGGTCACCGAAGAGACCAGAAATAGTGACTGCTATTTAGAGGTGTCCTATAGAGCAGTGGTCTTCAACCTTTTTCGATTCACGACCTACTTTTTTACTTTTCATTATTCGCGACCCATATAAGGCATACATAAAGAAAAACGTTTGTAGAAAAACAAAAAAACAAAATCTAAAATTACTTAATACTTTGTATTAGTACTGTTATAACAGAATAAATAAAAATAAAAAACTTTTTAAAGTATATGTAAATGACTAGAATAATAACGCGACTAACATTTATTCATCTTTAAACACAACGACAACATATATAATGTTCGTAGATTATGAGACTTTTTAACGATAATAATATAATATATTTATTTTATTACTAGCCCGGTTTACTCGTAAATTATTATATTTAATGTCATACTACGTAGAATCATACCAGTAAATGAAACATATACTGTGATTTGAAATCCATTATACTATTATATTTTTCAATATAAATTATATAATATTGTTTATAAATAATATATTACAATAATTTTCAAACTGTATTTTCATGTATTAATTTTCTAGGTTTAATAATTAAACAATTATTTGTATACCTTATATAATTGTATAAACTTTTATAAACTTGTATAAAATTTTTATTTTAAAAAGAAAACTTATCGCGACCCTATTTTTAAGCTTAGGCAACCCAAAAATGGGTCGCGACCCACCAGTTGAAGACCACTGCTATAGAGGCTTAACACTTGATGGGGCCAAACAAAATGATCACTAACAAAAGTTTTACCATTTAAAAATTGTCAAAGCAATAAGTATTAAACATATTCTAAATAGATTTAAATTATTCTCCAAGGAATTATTTAATATTTAATAATCAATACCTAATCTTTAATAATATAAATAGGTTTTGAGTTCTCAAAAATTGATAACACCACACTGAATATATAATACATATTAAAATAATACAAATTAAACTCATAACTTTAATAAATAATTCAACATTAAAATTTGTTTACAAAACTGTATTTTTCAGTACAGTAGAACTAGAATTTTTAAGGTTCATCGAAAATATTAAAAACAGAAGTTTTGCAATAATTGTGTATTTATATTCATATTGTATATGGTTTTAATTATTCATTTATAATTTCAAAATATAAATTTAAGTTTATATAAATATTGTACAAACAGTAAAACTACAATTTCACTTATAATTCAATGTGCTTACAACATTCTAGTTTTTTTTTTTTTTTTTTTTACAATAGTGAATAACGAGTTAGTTACACGAAATTAACTTTATTTCAAAATGATAAAGGTAGGTATTTCAAAAAAAAACTACTAAATCCTTATATAACTTACCTACCTATCTATTTATTTGAAGAATCTCATTAATCACGTTTTCGCTCTTTTCAGAAAAGTATTGAATTAATTTTATCATTTAGTAACCATATAAAACCAGTTTATAAATTATATTTAATTTGTTACGGAATATGTAATATGTTCACTTAACCACACCCACACCCCTAACAAATTTCAGATTTTTTTTTTAATACATATTTTTACATCACTAACTAATGTTGAACTTATAAAATCATAAAACCGACAAATAGTAGGTACACTATTCTAGTTTCTGAGAAGTGTGAAAACTTTTTAAAATATTTTTAATTCAGTACTTTATATACATATTTTGAAAATCAAAAAACGAGCAATGTTACAAAACTGCATTGCATTTATGTTAGTTTTTTTAACCACAAATTCTTTAATTATGGTTTCCACAACAAAAAATCCCGAGTCTTGAAATTATGAAATTCGTGAAGGGCGTGGCACTTTAGCCAAAAAAACGAAATAATGAATACTTCATTTAAATAGACTAAATACAAGAACAATTAAAACAGAAGTGGAGTACATAGGTACGAAGCAGACATTGAAATATTACAACAGATAGGTAGGTATTATACTTCTGTATATCATTATAAAATAATTCAAAATAAGTATAATTTGACTGACAAATAGAAATCGTAAATATCGAAGACTTACTAGTTGATTGGTATAGAAATGACAATCGTTAAGTTTTGATTGAACAGTATTCAGCGATTATTGTTTCAAGTACAACAAATAATTCCGTACCATGTGGATTTGCGTTGATGACAACCTCTAAGTAAATACTAAATACTGAATACTAAATGATGCTATACTCTGTGGTACCTATATACTATAGCACATAGATATATGTTTGGTTCTCGAATGATAAGAAACTGAAGCGTTCTTTTTTTCTTTTCCATGAACCAAATATTTTGCATTTCATTTCATTTTACCGTAGTAATTTGAAATAAATCATAATTTAAAATTGTTTATTTATTTTTTTAAATATTTTATCATAGAATAGATTAATATATTCTATAATTTAAGGAAAGTAGGTTAATTAATTACGGAAGCGCTAGGAGCACCCAAGCTACATTTGGTTTGACGAGACCATAGGCTTAGAACAAATCGTTCGCCAGAGGAAAAGTTTCCTCTAATTCGTATAATTTATAACTATTATAATATATGTATTTTATGTATAATCAATTATATAGTGCTGTGTCTAGATAATAATTCAAAACGTGTATAACTACTAAAATTTGAATTATCTATACCAATAAAATTAAGCAAGAAGTCGAGAACACCCATAAATAGTAGGTAAATTTAAACGGTAGACGGCGCGAGGGTGTGGTGTGTCGTAAAGACTAAACTCGATCAATAGCATCAAGTAAAAAAAAAAACTGATACTGGGAACGAATGCGGCCACTGTTGTAGATAGATAGTTAGGAAGATAAAATAAAAAATAAAATAAAAAAATAAAAGTTATTAAATTACTTGTGACCAACGATAAACCATTGCTAATGAAAAACGATTCATAGTGAATTCAGATTTTTTGAAATGCCGCATTTTAAATTTATTGCATTGCTCCTCATAAAATTTGATTTTAAAACTTTAAACTAATAAAAAATACTACATTACATCCAATTTTTTTTTACCATAAAATACTACTTTAATATGAACTTCCTGTCAAGTTTTCAATAATTTCTGTTTAGTCTAATAATTCTATCTAAAAAGTACCTATCAAATAATAATTAAACAAAAAACCCCAAGTATTACAATCTTTATAAATAACTCAAAATGACTCAAATATTTTGAAAATTTTACCACGTCTGGAAAAAGCAAATATAAGTTTTCTGTAAACATTTCAAGTTTCTACGATTATTTTTAATTAAATTCAACAAAAAAACAAAATTGAAATTAATAAAATAATTATTTTCGTAAATTTGTCCAATACTTTCTATGTATTTTTCAAGTTTTTCTCATTTATTTAAAACATTTTAAATCAAATCAAAAATTGACGTTCTGGATCACCAACTAAATATGTTTTTCTATTGAGGCAACATCTTTGGTGAAAAAACAAGCCTTAAAAATGTAAAATAATGAAATTATTGTACTATAATTTAAAAATAATCGTATTTTTTGTCTTTATTTTTTTTATTATGGAAAATATTTTAATTATCAATAAAACAACTTTCTGTACAAGTGGCTATATGTTATTAGGAACAAAATCAATCTGTAGTCATTTTTCAATTGGATCAATATTTCTGGTATTATCTAATCTTAGCATTATTATACATTTTACTCTTTGCCGAACCTATTGGTTATCCCAAGGTTTATATATAATATATTATTATATATTTAGTAGATACCTACCTGTACATTAAATTAGGAACGTACCTAATAAAGAATTTACTTCTTTAACTAGGTACCTACTTATGATGTATGTTTTTTTTTAAATTTTATATTTTATGTATCTCTAAAGAATTTAATAGAAAACTTTGTTTTCATAATAATTGAGAAAAATAAAAACTGATAAATATTGACGTTAATATAGGAATATTTCATTATCTTAAATTTGTACGCTTTATGTTTTCTACTAGAAATATGGTAGGTATTCGGACATTTCTTCTCCCCCCTGACTGTTTGTGTAGTAGTACATCTTCCTCCGATACTTATGTCTTATATTTTTTGATGGGGAAATTTACATTCGGAAATTATAAAATTATATTATTTATTATTTAATATGAAATTATTATTTTTGTATATTTTTCTGTTCAACAATAATAAACATAGATCAGTTATTGAGTGTGAAGTCGCTATTTGTTTTTCTTTGTAGTTTTTTTAATAATTGAGAAAACCAAAAAAATTTAGGAATCTCTTTTCATTAGCAATGGTATATGGTTGTTTACAGACAAAAATTAAATAACTTAGTGTATCCTATATTCCCAACCATAACAGTGGCTCATCTGTCAAGAGTATCAGCACTTTTTTTAACTTTATTTTTTATACATCACACATAGGTAGGTACATTACTTGTAGGTACCTAATATGTATTTTGTTCTGCTTATTAGTTATAAAATAAATGGTAAAATTAGTATTTAGTCTATACTATAAAAAAAAGGTTATTTATTATTTTTAGTAGTTGCGCCCATATATGAATAATAACAATAACTTGCGTTATTCTATTGAAAATTAATTGTTTTCACACCAGTTTATTAATAATTAAAACAATTACTACTAAGAAACTATTGATTGAATATATAAACATAATACATTCAAATGTTTAGAATACCATACATATTTTACAAATCAGGCATTTTGAACATTTTAATTAGTGAATAATTAATAAAAAGTTATACTTTCAACAATTAAGGGATGAAAATAAAAATTTAATTTTCTTTACATTTGTATCCCCATGCCACAGAATCGGATTGAAAAAAAAATGAATATTGACAGAGTTATTAGCATTTGAATAACACTGTGTAGTTTTTTTTAATTAAACATGAAACTGGTAATTTAATAATAATATTGAAATTTTACAAATAAGTTAGCGGAACAATATTTAGTTTAGTTCAAATCAATCAATCACTATGTTATATTATTTGAAGAAAAACATGAGTATGTAATTAACTGATGATTTATTAAAAATAAATTTTTTTAAGGTATATACTAGCTATTTCAAAAAAAAAATTTTAAATTACATATTTGATATAATTAATATTTATCAGGTTTAACCATATTATAAGTTTTCTAATTCATATGCTTCTATTAATTGTAAATGTATAACAATTTTTAACCAAGATTATTCAGATGCGTTTACATTCACTACCAGTCAGTGCTCTTGATTTTATTTCTGAAATTAAACTGCAATTTCATTTTAACTACCAAATTTAGAGAAAATGTCATAAGTTACTATATTACTGATAAATATTTAAAAAAAATTTAATAAAATAAGGACTTCAGGTTCATTAATGATCATTTTTATTTATGTTATAGGTACATTCTTTTTTCTTTTTCTTAATATATAATAACAATTCATCTTTTATTCTATTAGATTTAAGTGATTCAACTAAATTTTCAATGGTGTCTATTTGAGCAGGTATCAAGGTTTTCTTGATAACTTGATTACCACCATGGTGTGCATCATGTCAACTTATAGGTAGTTCACCAAATATCATTGGATGTAATATTTTGTCATAAAATATTATAATAATAACTAATTTAATTTTGTAATATTATAATATAAATAAAATTATATATTTAATATTAATATTATTATTCACCTAATTTTAAATTTCATAGTCCTTAATAAACTTTACAATATATATCCTCAATTTTTTTTTCACTTTTAATATTTACAATTTTGTGATATAAAATATTCAGCAGTTTTTCAAATTTTGTATGATAACAATTAATGATTTTGATTCATAACCAAATAAAATAACAACACTGTACAATCTATCAAGCAGTGCTGTGAAAAACTTAAAGATCACAAATATCTAAATCTAATTACTTATTGTAGCATTAAGCATAAAAAAAAAAAATATATTATCACAATGAAATTGATTGTTTTTTTATTGTAACAAATAATTTACTTTTGACACACACTCCTTTTTTTTAAAAAATAATGTTATGTTTATTTACATAATAAAACAACAATATGCGATAATTCAAATAAATGATTATAACATACATACCATACATTCTAGATGTATGTATGTATTTACAAAATATAATTCCTTTTTTTTATCTCATACACATTATCGCATTGTACAGTACATAGTATTCAAGATGACAATAATTAAATAGTATATTCAGCTAATCATAAAAAAAGGCTTAACAATCTAACATTAATAGCTTGTCTATTGTAGTAATTTTTGCTAGAGTGTCAGCTGACTGTTGTCGTAGTACTTGCACTCTCAACATTTTCACTACCAGAATCCTTAGATAGGTTTAGTGGCATACAATCTATAAAGAAAAATAAAAATGACAAGAAAACTTATTAATTGGTAAAAAGGTATAATTTAAGTTTTTAATACAAACTGATTAACAATTTTCCAATATTTGACATTGATTATTAAAAAATAATTTGTATTAAACATTTGAAATATAAAAGGAAATTACTATTTTGAAAATTAAAAGTATAGTTTTTCAATAGAAATAGGAGATAAAAAATATTATTAGAACTATTTATTTAAGTAGACATTATAATTTTGAAATGCTAACAATTTTAATGTTGGAAGCAAATTCAAAATCAATAAAAATTATATTAAAAAATGTAATATATACTTTGGAAAGGAAAGGATATGACATTCTTAACCAATTCTGTCTCTATACCTCTTGGTATTAAGGCAAAAGTGAGATAAGTGGCAGATTTGGAAAAATAGTGAGTAAATCTGAAAAAAGCCAGAAAAATTACAATATTGTAGCTTTGAATTAAATCTTAACATCATTTTTTTAATTAGTAGACTCACCAGTGGAAGAGGATGACTCTTCATCCACAGTAGTTAAATTTTTTGCTTCTAGGCCCCCATCATATCCCATCGTACCCAATGTTCTTTTCTTTGCACCAACATTTGTATGTTGTAGTCGATGCTGGTATGGCAATGGTCTTTGTTGCTGTTGTTGTACCATAGGTGCTGGGTGGTACTGTTGCTGTTGATGTAAAATTCTCGGTGTTACAATTGAAGGCGACACAGAAGGATATTGTGAGGATAGCAAAGATGGTGGTGCCTGTAGTTTTGATAACTGAGGATGAGTTTGATAGGCAATAGCAGCCATAGCCACTTGATGGTACAGAACATTAAAGTAATCAGCTGCAGCTGCAGAAGCCACATTTGGAAGGTGAAGAGTTGGCAATTGATGAAGAGAAGTCAGTGCAACTGAAGGGTCATTGACTACATTAACATTGGCTGTAGGAGGAGGTATCACCATGGTTGACATTCTAGCACTGTGGTCAATTGAACCGGTACCAACAACAGGTACTAAAGGAATCGGCGCAATAGTCGTTGTTTCAACTGCCGACCTTTTTCTACTACTACTACTACTACTACTACTACTACTGGTATGATGCCTGTATGGCACAGGGGATGCTTTGTTGTTCACTAAAATTGGCGGCGAACTGCTTTCACCACCAGATAAAATCGCTGTTATGCTGTGATCGTTGGCAGGCAATACTTGAGGCAGAGAAAGAACAGTTTTTTTCATACTGTTGTCAACATCCTGTCGTCTTTGTTGTTGTAGTAGAACTTCTGGCTGTCCCGACCTGTACTTTTTATGAGGACTACTTAACGTGTCTGTACTACTACCTGTAATTACAACCGGTAAACTCTTAACGTTATTTTTTTGTTGCTGAAGTACTGTCGGTACAGGTACCCAACGGCATGGAGTCGTTATAGTGGATTGATTATTGTATGGTTGATGTTGATGATGTGCAGCAAGTTGAAATATAAATTTACCATCTGTGTAAAAAAAAAAAAATAGATATAAAAATATTAATAAGTTTTTTTGTTTTAAATTTCTTTAAAAAAAAATAAGTGACCAGAGAAATCATAACATTTAGAATCTTGGTAATATGGCAAAAATAATATTAAATAATATCATTAATAAGTAAATTTAAAATTTTGTACTGTTTTCGATTATTATGAAATGATAAAATATTTACATGAAATTTAAACTTAAAAAAAAAAATCCCCAGTTAAAATATGCATCTTGATATATTGTAAAATCTGAGCCATATAAATAGTTATAAATAATTAGTAACTAATTGGTAGTAGGTATAATATGGTATTAGGTAGACATGGGAAATTAATATAAGATAAAACAATTTTTTAAGTATTTAGTTTAAAAGTATAGTATTTAGTTTTAACTATTAACCTATTAGGCACCTATATTTTAAATTAATATATTTTACATACTTAATTTATTTTGCAATTGATTTATTACTAAACCATATTTTTACTCAAGTAATATTTCGGTAACAAGTACTTGTTTAAACAAAACACTAACCTAAATTTCACAGCACTTTGGCTGTAATATTTTAAACTATATATTTATGATTTTACTATAATGCATGATCTTGAATGTTTGTAAAAAAATTTTCGGTAGAAAATTTTATTTCAATTATCACCATCAATGGTGGTTTCTGATAGCAAATTTTTTTCTAGTTGTATGTTGGAGGTTATTTTTAACTTTTTCTAAAGGTGATGAAATTTTAAAAAATTATTGCCATTTTTGATGTAAATATAGCCACTTGAAATTATCAACTTTTTAGTTTTTATTTTAATAAAATTTGTATAGCATTATGAAAATGTTTGAAAATATGATACAAGGCTCATTATACCTAAGTTGTTCTTATGACACTAGTTATAAAACTATTCAATATCTTTATTCACAATTTTTTTTTATATATACATATTTAAGTTTAAAGCATTTTGAGTATCTACTATTATACAATTTATCTTAATACTTCTTTACTACTATTTTGGTTCCACGGAAATGTAATTCTAATGTTTCTACAAACAAATAAGGCAATATTATTATTTACCAAGTTACAAATTAACACAATTTTAAATGTTTTGCTCAACATCTTTTTTAATTAATAATGATTTATTATTGCATACAGATATAAACTAAATTACTCTATATACCTACTTCAATTCATACACATAACATAGGTAATACAATTTTCACTTATAACAGTGGCTTACCCATGAACAGTACTCTATATGAGTATAACGATGATATACAAAACACACACAATGTAATGGATTTTAATTAAAATAAGTAGTTTAATTTTAATTTTTATACAATAATATACTACAAAATCATAAGTAAATATTACCTTTATAAAATGTAAGGCGCCCACCAATACTTGTTGAAGTATTCGTTGCTGCTGCTACATCACCACTGTTGCTGGAGGAATCTTTATCACCATTAGCATCCTCTAAATCTTCTTTACGTTGTGGTGACAATGGGGGAGTTTTCATGGGTGTAGGACAACCAGTGGAATCTACATCCGCTAATGCTGGTTTTCGCACAAGTCTGTATCGGCATAGTTCTCGTACTCAGTACGGCAAATAAAAATAGTACATATAAAATATTATAGTATAATGGAAATACGTTGGCGTTTTATTTTTTTTCTGAGAATAAATAAATTCACAATTTTAAGGTAGACGACAAGCTGAGTTTAAGTTTAACCAACAGCAATATCCGAAAAAGATGATTAGACAACACGGAAATCGAATAGGTAATCAATTGATTACCGAAATTATTATTACTGTCGTTTCAATAATTGGTATTCGTCGACGACACGCGCACACGACGGCGAAAATGGATTAATATTTATCTAGGTATCCGAGTGGGATAAGTAAAATGATCGAAAAATAAAAAGAGGTAAGTACCTTGTTTGTTTTTTGGTGTTATTAACGTGCGCACGCGCATTGAGAGAACACTGTCGAATGTCAACGGGAGGCGAAAATCACGCACGCATACAATGCAGACAATTTGCGACGGTGATCAACAGTCGGTTAGGTTTATTGGAAGTTCAGAAGATCTAGTACTTCAACACAGTTGTACCAAACTACCACAGAACAGAATTTTTTTTTAAAAAAATAAGGTAGAGACCAACGAAACTACAAGCCGCAATAATCACGTGAATACCGGTCGTTTTTCATTAGGTTTCCCGCGTAAAATTATTTCAAATATTATTTACATAATATTAATAATATTGATATTACTAATTGTATTAGGTTTTAATATGCCCTAGAGAAATTATCAATGATGATTTGAAGTGCTCCAATTTGGGAAAACTCATGGGGACTCCGTACTTCAATTAATTTTTCAGAAATTTTAGCGTAGCTCTACTATTTGTTTTAAGTAAGGGACGATACATATTTTTGTACTTTTATCCATATGATAATTTTCATTAAAATTTGAAGTTTAAACACATATAAAACAAATTTATATTACTTTCAATATTTTTTTTCTCACTATTAATTCATATTTTCATAATAAAAACCTTGTGTTAAATTTTCGGGTTTTTAGAGCATTTTTGCTGGGTTGAAAAAAATTAATCAAAATAAAAATCTAAAAACCCAAAAATTCTAAATATTTAAAAATAACTGTAAAACTGAAAGAATGTATTGAAAATTGTACTTTCTCGAAAAAACTACAAAAAGAGATGCAATTTTCGAACTCTGTGATTATTTTCTAATGAACAATAACAAATTAAACAAACCGAATATAAAAAAAAATGTAAATATTACAGTTTTCTCGGTTTTTCTCTATTATAAAAATTAAATAATGAAAATAAAAAAGAATTACCTCCTCACTGCACAAACTAGACAATATCTAGTACCTACTAGAATCCATCACAAAAAACACACTTTACAATAAATATATCATAGTAAAATCTAAAATAAACGTACATAGAAGGAAAAAGTTAACCAGTAATATTATTAAGTAGCCTATTTTTTTCATTAATTATTAATCACTGAATTATAATTGTGTAACGGGGAGAAAGGTTCCTGAGGGATTCACTTCAATTCAATAATTGCAAGAGATTTTAATTTTTTTTTTTTTAAGTCTTATGACTATAAGACTCTTCATTTATTTTTCCAATTTGAGCACTGTTCATGTTTAAGGTCTAAACTTAATATCCATTTAAAATGTAGCGCACCACAAATGTGTAGGTCTACCATAGGGTAGTTGAATTAGAATGGCATTAGTACAATATTGTACAAATCACAAGTAATAGGTATTTAAAATCTTCCATCACCTTGTCACTAGTTAGTACATTTTATTTAGATTTATCATTACACTAATGGATTCTAAAATAATGTCATCTATATCTTATTTTGATAAATTATCTTGTCTGTTGATAAAAATCAAACCTAACAATACAAGTTAAAACAACTAAAAATTATAAACATTTTTATATACCAGTTGATTAAGAACTACAGGAAAAATCAACAGTGTTATGTATTATTTGAATAGGTATTTCATTTAACTTACCAACTCTATAATAGTGCTATGAATTCCATGATTTTAATATATTTATATTAAAATATAATACCTATATAATACTGGATATTTATTGCATATCCATATTTTATTATTTTTATTATATTTAATTATTCCTGATAATAATTTTATTATAAAATTGCTCTTTGACAAAGATAAGATAAGGTTTTTTTTTTTTGATATAAAAGGGTGCTACTGACAATGATCACCTCATCCTCTATAAGATAATATTATTTTATTTATTATTAATTTACTGTGAACCTGCCTTTCAAAAGAGAAAATATGATTTACTAATTAATTGTAGATAAAATAATATGCAGCAGCAGTTAATATTCATGAGGTAATGTAATCAATTATAATTTCTATAAAACTAAACATCTTTTAAAAGTATCTGCCTAAACATTTGTCATCAGAAAAATAAATTATAATAATTTAGAAATAAAATCAATCAATTTAAATCATTAGTACAAAACATAGTCATATTTTATTTTAATTAGCTACACAATAGAAAATAATATTTGTTTCAAAGAATAAAAACCTGTTAGAAAGTTGTTTTAATAATAATAATAATAATATAAATCTTCACACCAATGTATGAGTAAATAATATATAAATAAAAAAAAATAGGAGCCTACTATTAAAATTAATAAAATATAAATTTTCTGTCAAATCATTTAATAACACAATAATCTATATTATAATACCATAAATAATAAATCTGAAAGTGGTAGGTATTTGATTAAGTGTAGTAATACAAAATATAAATGTATAACCTATTAACATTTACAACAAAACAATTTTATAATAAATAAACATATATTAATAATGAATGAAATAAGAATTAGAATTTTTAGTTACAATAATATCTACTTCAGTTTTTGCAACCAATTCTTCCAATTCATCAGTAGAAGATGGCAATTTTATAAGACAATCAGGGTCTAAAATTAAAAACAACACAATTCATATAAATAATCTGCTGTTTTTTTTTTTTAAACAATTATAAATGAGAAAGTTTTTAAATGGCTATCTACTTTAGTGTGTTATGTGTACTTAATATTTTAAAACGTATGTATAATATAAATTAACTTTTATATTTACACAAATATTATTGCAAAAATAAATACTAAAAAATAAATAAATATATTATTATAAAATAATATATTTATTATATTAATATATTATTTATATAATTAATAAATAAAAATAAAAATGGCTAATATTTACTTTTATTTTTATAATCTGTGTAACATTCTACATTAAAATTTTCATTTATGTAATTGAGGTTGGCTTCTTTAAATGTTGTTATTGATAAAGCAATCGAATTCATTAACTGTAAATAATATTTTAATTAATATCTTATATCAATTAATAAAACAATATATTAACTCCTTCCCTTTTTTTATCTGCTTATTTTTTAAGGTAGGACCTTAAATAGTTTTAAATAAATAAAATATTTATTACTTTAGCTTTTATGGAAATATGTGTTTTTCTACAAATAGAAAATCTTAAAAATGGCAGTATAAATAGATGTCCAATAATACTTGAATCAATGTCACAGCATTTAATATGAAAAAAAGCTGATTTTGTTCTTTTTGTGGATACAACTACACCGTATTCAAATGAAATTCTGTGAACATATTTAAATTTTTGTTTACTTATTTAGTTTAATTATTGTTAAGTAGGTATAGACTTTTAATTTTCATATTTACTTTGGGTCATTATTATTTACATTAATATGCATTTCTACATTAGACATTGTATTAACATGTATTTCACTTTTTCCACAGACAATAACTATATCATAATCTGTAAAGATCTTCTCAAGTTCCGCAGGAAGATTATTTGAGCTTCATAATATCAAATATGAAAAATATTAATATATATTTTTAATTAGGTATTTTATAAAATGTTTTCGTAGAATTTACTAACTTTTTACTAAAAGTATGACTGGCAGTTTTTCCTTTAAAACCATCTAATATCAAAATATTAGATAATATTTTCCACATAAGACATGTATTGCAACATTGAATAATATATATGGTTGGGTATCTAGTAACAAGCATTGATAAAATAAAAATTAAAAATGAATGTATATGGATATCAATAGACTTATTTTGGCACTGTAAATAGTTTAGTGATTAAGTTTATGGTTATATTATATATTAATTATGATAGACATAATCGAATCTGATGATATATATTAATAACATATCATGGTCATGATGAAACTTATATGTTATCTGAAAAATTTAACTATGTTAAATTCAGTACTTAATTTGGAATCAGTATTTTTGCCCAAAAGCAAAGAGTGAATAATAAATTAATAATGCATAATATGATGACATCAAAGTTAGTTAAGTAACTAAAATATTACTTAACAACTGTTTTACAATTAATTTGATTTTCTTCATCAGCTTATTGATATAGATTAATCAAATAAATATAATTAATTAAAATTATAATTAGATATTGTAATTTCTACTGCCAGTTAGTATATAATATAAACACTATAAATAAAAACCTGAATATCCTGTATTTGATTAAACCAACTCAAAATAAACGTTTACTAAATTCACTAAACTGTTAACTAAAAAGATTAAGTAACCATGTTACAGTAACCAACTTGCCTAACTTACCAGTAGACAGTTTACTCATAGGTCCATTTCCCTAGCATCTCCACCAATGAATTTTGAAACGAAACCAAGTGCCTTTTTTGTGCTGATTTGTGCCATTAATTCTGGCATTTGTGCTTTAAACTTTCCAAGATACAGCTGATTTTTATAGGGGGTACTGGGGAAATAGTTACACTTCTTTCTGACATGTACAATAACTATTGCAAGTCCATATTTGTACATATAATTCATTATGTTTGGTTGTAAGCCCATATTAGTGCTATCTATGAATATTTTTGTTAAAAGATGATTTGCTGTTTTTAATAGTTGAAAATTTTTAGAACATATGATAATTAGGTATATTTTTTTTAAAATAAAATATGAACAAATTTATTTCTATTATTTAATCATGAAATGACAATTGATTAATTCATGTTAATGTACTCACATTGGAAAATACTTAGATTTATTTATAATTCCAGAACTTTATTTTGGTGAGTTTTACTGACTGTTGTTTAGTATAAACTATTAATTGTATTATATAAATATATTACATAATACAGTATATTGGATTTTTTTTGTGTCAATAACTCTGACTATCTAAACAGTCCAAATTATTTATTTAATTTTTTTCAACCATGACTTCATATTCAAATAAAACTTCATATAAAACAACAATATATTATTACAATATAATATAGTATTTAGTAATTTATAAAGTATTTCAGAATGTGATATTATTCACATAACATCTTTAGTAATATTATTATAAATGAAAAAAATCAATTAGAGCCATATTACTTAATTTACAGATTAATTATAAATATGAAATTCTAGAATAATAAAATATTTTTACTACTTACAAAAAATATTATGTGTTTTCGGTGTAAATTTACAGACATAAAATGAGACAGATGGTATAATATAATTATTCAGTAAAGTAATATCGAAATTAGGATTTTCAATAAGTTAATTTCGGACAGTGAAAAAATGATCTAAGAATAATTGTTTATCAGACTTAATAGATATATAAACAACATCAATAATTATTGTACATCTATAAACTAAATTACTGAAAATTTGTTCTACATTAATAATTGAAAAAAGTAATCTAGATTCTAAACTATAGTATTTATTCACGGCTATTAGATCTCCTCTTGAAGAGACACTAGATTTATTGTTTTTGTCAGCTCTGTAGAAGCTATATTAATGGAAATAATCCGATTCATAAAATTTAAGTATTGATGTCATTTCTGTGTTAATTTCAATAAAAAATAAAAATGAGCAGGCGGAAATTGTGAATTGAGTAACAAAAGTTTATTGTTTACACTGTAGATATTTTGATAGTAGATGTTGAGAAATAATGAAATTGCATTTTCCTACATTTTTTACTAAAAAATTATGTATAGGTATTATGTATATTATGTATAGAAATTATGTGTAACTTAGGATCCAAGTTCATTAGATCATTAATTGTTTTAAAATCAATATAGCCTGGATTTCTTTTTGTAACATTATGCATTTTCTTTTTTACAACTAATCATATTTGTCCGCTTTCAAGTTTTAATTTTTCAATTATATAAAAAATTTGCAAAATTAAAACCTTTATAAATAGTTTAAAAATGGCTCATATGTTTGAGAAATTTAAATAAGGCCAAAAAACAAAAAAATGTATTTTGTTTAAAAATTACAAATCCCTAGGAATAATCTGAATTACAACAATAAAACCATAATTAAACATAATTAAACCATTACCAATTTTTATTTTTCGTCTTTTTTTTTGGTTTTTCTCAATTATTACGAAAACCACTTAAAAAATCAAAAAACGACTTTCTTTCTGGCAACTAAATCCAATATGTGACAAAAAAGGTCTCTAGTCCTTTTTGATTAAACCAAAAAGAAGACATAAGTTACAAAATTATGTAATCATAAAATTGTTACGCCATAAATATTTGTCCTATTTTCCTATATTTTCCAATGTTTTTTATTTCTTTTCCCTTTTATTGGGAAAACTGCTGTGAAAATCAAAAAACCACCTCCTTAAAGTACTACCCCAAATTTATTGGTGGGGGTGCCAGGAAAACGGACCTGTTATATGCATAGACTTACACATCTAATGTATTCATTTAATGATGAATTAAGTCTATGATTAAACGCCAACATACCTAATTTTAATATATTTATATCTAATTAAATCATACAACCTGTATACACTGACTTCCTCACAACCAACAGACCGTAATAACGCAATTTCAAAAGGACCAAGTTCAGTTTTTTCATCTATGAGAAGTTGCCCAACAGAAATATCCGAACCAATACTTCTAAAATAATAATATATTACTTGGGTAGGTTAGGTAACCTATCTAATATAATTTATTCTCAAAACATTTTTTTAGGTATATTTACCTTATATTATCAAATAATTTAGGCTCTTCTAATACAGCAATGCTCAGTTCAATTTTTTCATCTTTTGATTTAGAAACAATAGAAGTATTTTCAATTGGTATCACACAATTAGCACCCAATGGTAAGGGTGCTCCGGTACTTATTCGACAACATGTACCTTCAATTATTTCTTTTTGACTTTTTAACTGTAAAATATTTTTAATTGAAAATATAAATTGGTTCATTTTGTTAAATATAAAAAATACTTCTGTCCCAGCTACTGATATTTGTATAACTCTAAAGACATGAGACTTTTGAGACCAAGAACCATTGTTATTATATTTAATAGCATATCCATCTTTAATTGAAGCTGGAAAATTTGGTAAATTTTCTGGAGAATAAATAGACTTATGTAAAACATAACCCATGGCGTCACTGAAACATTAATTTCTCTTAAGAACTAAGAATATGTTAAATATGTAATTTGTTATTGTAATATATTGTGTTTATATATTATCTGTAATATGCATTACAAATTTATTGTCAAAATGATGAACTTACATAGTAGGAATATTCTCAGTTTTTAAAGAAAGTATGTGATTGGTCATTAAATTGAAAACATCTTTTACACTAATGGATAATTGTATAGAAGTCTGGTCCAACATAATACTTTGGTTTGAGGACAACTATAAAAACAAGCAATAGGTATACAATGTATCAGAGTGAAAATGATCAGATTCTGGCGGCATATGAAAATATACCAAAATCTACAGATAAAATACTTTTAAAGAGGTATCTAACTCTTACACCCTCCTCTCAATCCATCCCTCCCTATTTTAAATCTAAATACAGACAGTTATAATGTAACTAATTAACTCAGGTTTTCAAAGATTTAAAATTTTCTTATCTTTCTATATTTAGGATTTTGAGAATTCTAAACTTATCAATCATAACAATTTAACAATGGATAACTCAGAAATTATGAAAAATAGTAAAATAAAATTTGGTTAAGTTAGGTTTTTTGAGTTCTATCATTGGGATTGGATAGCCTATTTAGTCAAATAATAAAAAAATAATAAAAAAGTTAGGTTTTGGGAATATTATTCAATAGCATAATAAATATAAGAAAAAAAATGTAGTAAATACGGTGTTAGTTGGTCTTAAACACGATTTATTTTTAAAACATTTTATTTTTTTATAAAATAATAATTGTTGATTTATTCATTTATATTATTTGATAGCACAATAAAATATTTTTAAAATAAAAAAAATACATTGATAATTTTAATAGTTTTGAAGATGTACTGTTAATTCAGTTTTATTAAAAAAAATAATATAAAATTGCTTATACAAATATATATATATATAAGTTAAACGCCTCTTTTAAATAGGTTTTCTCTTTAATTTTAGATATATTTTTATATAAGGCTTAGATATTGTATAATATTTAAAATATAAGTACCTAAAAAAGTTTTATATCAGAGTTAAAGTTTTAAATTTAAATTATTAAAGTAATAAACTATTTACCTTCATGTTCAACATTGGTTTATTTAAAAAAGGCGCGACATATGAATTTTCCATAGGTTTAATTAATATGACTTCTAATATCATATTTTCTTTTACATTTGAATGAGTTGATGCTGAAGGCAATTTCAGTAAACAATTACATCCCACAAAACTCAAAAGTCTGCTACTTTGTTGATGATTATCTAATAAAGTATAAAACATTTATTGGTAACAGTATCTAACTGACCAAAGTACATGCAGTTGGTTCAATAGTGTTGTAAGCAATATACAATCATTTTCACAATTTTAGATTCTGAATGTAGCAAAGACTATATAAGTTTTATAAAGTTGTTTATTTTTTGTTTATGCAACTATAAAGTCCAACACACTATAAAAACTATTATATTATTGCTAGAAAAATTATAATCCATAAATATGATCCTTTAAAACTATCACTGTTCATCTAAATTATTTTAGATTTAAATATACATTTTAAATTACTTTAAATGTATTTCTCAATGAAATAAAATAAAATTTTGTGAGTAGGCTATTAATACCATTAATTATTTGTGCAAGTATACCTATAATAATAATATTTCTTTTTAATTATAATAACTTTATTTTAATAGTCTTTTGTTTATTTTTAATTTAATATGGACTATTTTTTAATAAATTTATTTCAATAATTGCATAACTATTTATGTGTAATTTTGTATTTACTATTAGTAGATTGATGCTTGGGATATCTGTGATCAAAATATTGATCAGCAAAATTATTGTATGTTACATACCTACATAGATACATACCTAAGTACATATTACATACATAATACATATTATATATTATATTATTATAATTGATTTTCTTCAAATATTCATAGAAAATACTCTTTAAAAAAAAAAATAATAATAACAGTACATAATATTTTAATTAAATTAACTAAGATGTTTTGACTGATATAAACCTATATTATAGGTAATATTATAAGTTTATATTAGTCAAAATATATATAAGATTATAGTAGGTACCTACCTAATGTTTTGAATAATATAAGACATTTCTAAATTAATTCAAGTTGAATGAAAGTAAAATATGTAATACTATAAGAGCAGTTTTGTTATAGTTTAAAATATAAATAATCACTGTATTAAATTGTATATCCTTCAATGGACCATTTTAGTTTAATATTAAATATTAATACAGAAGATCTAAAAATATAAAAATACATATATATATAATATATATTAATAATGATGTAAACTCAGATTATATTAAAGTGAATCATTCAAATTCAAATATTTTAATAAAAAAAATAGGATTAAATTTCTCTATTAGAAAATAAAGTTATACAGTCAGTTGATATCTTTAATGATAAAATTAATGATTTTATAAAATCAAGTGTTATCAACCATAACTGTAATACTAATAAAATTGTAAATTGAAAATGTGAATTTCAGCAGACCTTGTTATCTCAATTAGAGTGAAAGAAAAGATGTAAAGGAAAACTGTTTAGTAACTATTGCATGTTATTTTAAAAATAAATATATTTCTACAGAAATGTATTGAACAAATTGATAAAATAAGTTAAAATATATATATATGCAAAAAAATAAGTATTATCTTAACAAAATTAATAAGACTGGTAACAGTTAAAACCGATACTTATGGGAGTGAGTAAAAGAAGCATCAATACAAAAACTAATTAAGATATAAACATAATGAGTCTGGTAATAATATTATTACAAACAAAAGTGAAATTGTTAACATACATAATAAGTTTTTTTAATGCAGAAATAGACATTTCTAAACTTATAGGCTGGAATGAACTATATCACTATTGTTATGTTAAGAACTACTCAAATTATTTTAGTAAAGTGAAAAAATGTATTTTATTGATAAATGTAAAGACTATACCTTATTATATGAATGATCTATGTCTAATACTGTATAAAAAAAGATAACTATTATTATGTATCGCTACCGCGATAAATTATATTTAACAAACAGCTATTAGTAAGAGAATTTCTTTTTGATTTTAAAAAAATCAGTACTTATATCACTTTCAAAAAACTCTAATATTAAAAAGATGGATATACTTTGCACAATGGATGAACAACTGTTGTAGGTAAGAAGTTGGAAATGTAGGATATAGAGGGGAAAAAACAATTCTAAGTAAAGTTCAGTAAATATTACATTAAATTCAAAAATGTTCAAGCTTTTCTGTTTGGTCTAATAATTATATACATAGAGTACCTACTGAATAAATATAAAAACCTCGCAAAATTGAAATGTCTAGTAGCTTAAAAATGGCTTAAATGTTTTGAAAATTTAACTATGTCTATAAAAGACAAATATAATGTTTCTGTCAAAATATCAAGTCTTCAGGGATGTTTTTCACTGAATTACAATAAAAAAACAAAACTTAAAATAATAAAAGTATTATTTTTATAAATTTTCCTGTTCGTTCTACTATATTTCAATTTTGTTCAATTATTAAAAAAAACTACAATGAACTATTGATAATATAATATATATTGTATATTGTACAATATAACATAATATAATGTGTCATATTATGGTAAAATAATTATACATGCATTTTAATATATTTTCTTTAATATATTATTTTTATATTTGTTTAATATTATACTAATCCCCCCTCCCAAGGTTTCTGTCATTTTAGGTTTTTCCCATTAATTATGAAAATCCTAGAAAATTCCCTTTTAGAAAAGGTGCTATACTTGATACTTCAGAGCAAGATATCTAGTGGAATTTTTGTACACAAAATCTAAAATAATTTTATAAATTATAGGCCAATAACTTTAACATTGACAATATCTAAAGTCCTTGCCAAATGTGTCAAAGTAAAATTAATAGAGTTTTTAATTAAAAATAATTTTTTTAATAAAAACAGTTTGTGTTTAAGAACATTATTTTGACCAATGACATACTTTATTGTTCTAGACAAATTATTTATTTTTATTTATTTATTTTTTTTATTTATTATTAATTTTTTTTAAGTCGCTCATTACCAATAGATACCGAAGGGTTAAATTAAACAATATATATATATATAGTATAGTATAGTATAGTATATATATATATATATATAGTAATATGTTACCTACAAAATATTTTGTGCTTCAAGGAACTGTAGTAGATCATTTACTTTTTATTATTTATATTAATGGGCTTCCTAAGAAATATTTTGTTTGCAGATGATACAGCAATTATATTTAGTAGCAAATTAAATTATGTTTTTAGGTTTTTATTGTTTGTTGTTTAATATGCCATTTAATTGTATACTACACATCTTATTAATTCAATTTTTTTGGTCAAATAATTGAATACTCATCTCAGCACAGCTATTGGCTTGGAGATAACTGACTCTTTGATTATACCTTATGTAATTCTATTGTTATTTTGTATAATTGGAATTCAATAAAAATTATTATTATAAATAATATTTGTTTACTTAAACAAGATACATATAGTTTTCCTTCTTCATACTTCAATAACGCTCTTCTATATTCTGGTCTTATATCCAATTCATTTATTGAATGTGTTAACTATAAACATAAAAGTATACTATTAGGTAATACCTATACAATTCGTAAAATATTACCTTTGCTTTAAAAGAATGAGTAATTGATTTTCTACTAGAAATTATTCTCAAATATGGTAACAAGAATAAATGGGTGCATACACCAGCAGACACTGGATTACCAGGTAAAGAAAATACATACTTTTTTTTATTTTTAAAACAAAGTGTCACAAATGTAGTTGGCATTCTGTAAATCAAATTTAATTTAATTTTGTATACTTATATATAAATTATAAGTATATTATTATTTGTATTATATATACCCTGGTTTCATATCAACTCTGCCAAAAAGAATATCACCATTAAAATGTTCCCTAAGAACATGTTTTATTAAATCTTTTTCACCCATTGAAACACCGCCACTTGTAACAATTATATCTGCATTTTCAAATGCATTTTCAAACATTTTACACAGATCAATCCAACTTAAAATACAAAATTTAAAAAAAATAATAATATTTTAAACATAAAAGTACACATAAATATTTAATGAATAAACTATACTTAAATATTACAACTAATAGTTAATACTAAAGATAAATACACACTTGTCTTTGGCTACACCAGTTAAAAATACTTTGCCCATATAATTATCTTGTGCCAGTATCTGTTTAATCATAACAGAATTTGTGTCTCTAATTTGTGTACCTTGACCATTTCCAATTTCATCTCCAGTTGAAAATATACAAACAGATGGATATCTAATAAGCATAAATTAGGTAGATACTTATTTTGTTATTAATACCTATACTCTATTCAGGTTAAGATTGACCGCTCAAACAAAAAAAATACATTCCATTCTCTCATACCCACTATTACACTACCCTCACAGCAAGACACAGACCAAGCTTACTTGGTAGCTCAGTCTGCATGTCAATATTATTCAATCTTATCTAGTATAAGTAATTTATTTTTTTTTTTATTGAAAAAAGTTAACTAACATAATTCTATTATTTTTATCGAGTTGTGAAAAACTATTTTCTTCTAAGATACTTAGAGCTGATGTTATATTTATTTTTGGAAATGGCGATTCTCTATAACGACAAGCTATTTTGGAAACACAATCCTAAAAATATTTTCAAATTAATAGGCAATTATTATGTTGATTGTAAAAAGCCAAAAAACAAAATTAAGTAGGCAACTACATACCGGAACTCTATACTCATTGTTTGTGGTAGAATTAAATTGACTATGGACATTTTTTTCATCCTTTATTAATGCAACTGCATGAGGCATTGCATCAACAATAGCTCGTAAACACTGTTCAGAAGCAGTTTTACTACCAGGTAAATTGATGATTAAAGTTTTTTCATATATTCCAGATACTGCTCTAAAATTGAATGAAAAGATACACATAGTAAATATATTTTGAAATTTGAATAGTGTTATAAATATATGTATTTTATAAAAAAAAATGTTGTAAGTACTGAAATCACAAAAATGTATTTTTTTCTAATTAGTATTTTTCTAAAAATATGGATACCTACCTGGACAACATTGCCATTGGGGTAATTTTTAAACTCACATTCATAATTGCTTGACTTATACCAGGTGTTAATTTCTGAACAACCCCCAATGTAGCTTCGGGAGTAACATCTCTTGGACTAAAACCAGTACCACCGGTGGTTAATAAAATATCAACTTTTCTTTCAGAACACCATTCAATCATTTTAGCCTTAAAAAAATGTTGTATATTTTAGGTTTTTAAACATGAGTTTAGAACATTGTATAACCCCATTATATACACCTTATACATGTATTCTAGTACAGTTATGGTTATAGATATGGTTGCCAAGGATTACAATAAGGATAAGGTTGAATTTTTAACATTATTATTATTCTAATTTAAATATATATTTGTTATGCTATTATCAATTATTACTAAAATTTAAGTAGTAAGTAGATAAGTATTTACTAAGAATTTTAAAACAGTCTATATCTGTTGCCAACTATTTAAAAATTAAAATATTTAGTTTATTTAGGTGTTAGGTCTCACAAACATGATATACCTACTAGGTTATTAAAATTGTATTTGGAATTATATTTTAATGTTTAAAAACCTTTGCAACTTGTTTAACTAAAATTATTAGGCAGGCATTTAAAAGATGTAAAATTACAATGCTATATAGGTACCTAAATATCTTCATAAAAAAAAAACAAACTAAGCAATTTAGTCAATCAAATTTTACAAAAAAATAAAAAAGACCATTGTAAACTTACTATAAGAAGGTATGTAGATATATACTTCTTACCTGAATTTGTTTGATATCATCAATAATACATTCATATTCAATTACTTTGGCTGATTCAATGACATTAAATTTATTGATTAGTTCTTTTAAATTATGGCCACTGAAGTCAAATGTTTGTATATTAGATGCTGATGAAGTTCTGGTATCACTAACTAAAAATAGTATTATAATACATTATGAATTATTATATATTATATATATTATAATATGTCTTACTCGTTAATATTCCCACTCTTATGATTTTTTTATTCAGTTCCATCTTTTATTTTAATTTGTATAAATAATTAAAATCTAAAATATTATATACCAATCTAAATAGAAAGAGAATGATACAAATACCGTAAATAAAATGAGTAGGTATACAGTTATGTTTATTAATTACATATTATTTTAATTAATTTTAATATAATATATTTAACATAACAGCACGGCAATAAAGGATTGGGCGTGTTTTCTAAGCAGCCATACAAAAACAATCTAGTTATATAATAATCGTACTATTTTATCAATATGTTTATCTGTCATTAAAAGTGGATACTTATTCATTAAGTACCTATATAATATGATATTGACCACGAATTTAGATATAATTACCTAGGCACCTAAGTGAGTAAGTACTAAATAGTAAACACTGCAGTGCAATATAATATTGTGTAATATAATTGATCGTGTATTCGTGTATACTGTATAGAAACCACTTTATAATAATTAAAAACTATCATTTACTTAATTCATATTATAGAACTGCTACTACAATAGTGTAATGATATCGCGAATATATACCTACCATAGGTAATGCCTGGTATAGGTATTATTTGTATTAGGTATTCGTATTTCTGTGATGACAATTTTTAATTAGTACCATCCACATACCTATTAAAATGTCATTAGTTAAAATGTATATTTTCCCGTTCTTTCAACGTATTTTTCGGTTTTGCTCAATTATTAAAAAAAACTACAAAGGAAATTAAAAAACGATTTTCTAAGTCACCAACTAGTTTGAAAATTCAATACAATAAATCTCCTGTTGTAACGTATAACGAGGGATTTATTGGTTTTACTCGTAGGCGTGTCACATGTACAAAAGGCCAGTATATTTTTTGTATAAGGTCTATGTATGATTTATTACTATGATATGTTTGTTTTTCACTGTCTGCAAACAACTTTTCGAAAAAAAAATTTGCTCTGATTTTTACGTGTAGTGACTTTTCTTAAAGCTCAAGTTGTCTAGATGATACATTAGAAAGGTAATTTTTTGATTTTTGACGCCATTTTTTAAATAAAAGCACCTAAGTGGGGAAAAAACGTAGGAAAACTTACAATTTCACGATTTCATTATTTTATAAAAACACGGACGATGTTTTCTACCAGAAAAAATGAGTTAATTGAAAAATCACAAGATACTTTTAAGAGCTTTTAAGGAATTTTAATTTCTGGTAGTTTTTTTGCTGTAATTCGATTACACGTAGAGACTTGAAACTTGGTAATAATACTTATATTGGACTTACCTAGATGTGGTAAAATTTTCAAAATCATCGAACGACTTTTTTTTTTATAAACGTTTTGAAATCAAATTTAAATGAAAATACCAAAAAAAATTATGACACTTCAAATTATGTTATACTGAACGGCGCTCTTAATCATCTTTCGTCAAGTAATGGTTTATCGTTGCTTACAGATATAAATGAAATAACCTTATGTATCCTACCTTCTTAACTTCTCACCTACAACAGTGGCCGCTCACATCCCCAGCTCTTTTTGTTTTTTAAATTGTATTTTTGGTTATGTTTACTTATATATACCTACCTATTGGCTATTATACTTACTTTATTATGGATCATTGTCTTGTTTAATTTGTTTTTTTAAAATGTCTCTTTTTTTTATTTTTATAGTCGATCCATAAATAATAAATTTTAATTTCTATAAATGTATTAGACATTTTGCTAGAATGTAAAAAAATAAATATGTGTCAACAATTTTTTATAACATTTAAAAATAAATTATTATTTCATAAGAATAATAACTTATAAAAATGCCCAATATATTTATGTTGTTATTATAACTTATATTATACTAACAAACTGTTAACTTTAGAATATTTTTAAATTTGTAAATTATATTGCATATGATAACGTATTAAATTTAAAATGTTTGGTAAATCCAAAATAGTCTATATTAGTAATTAATATGTTGGGAAGCTAATTCACCCCCGAGTCCCACTAGTTCTCCAAATGCACATACGTGTGAACGATGTTCCTAAAAAAACAAAAATGCGGTTATTATGCAGACACATTATATATAATATTCAGAATCGTCAAAATTAGTCGCAATTGATTGTTGTTCTAATACCGCGGTAATTTTCATTGGCCGTGTGTAGTATTTTTGAAACGGTCTATTCAAATGTCTGCGTTTCATTGGGTATGATTTTATTTTCCGCTGCACTGTGTGAATGGGTCTTAACGGTTTTGAACACATTAAACATATGATTGAATTAGATACAGACATTGCAAGTTTCTGTTGACAAACAATATAGATGTTATTTAAGTTTACAGTTTTTTTATTATTTCTCAGCGATAGAGATCAGGGCAATATTTGAACATAAGCTTCATAGGCTGTAGGCTGAAGCCTGTGGGCCCTCAACACATTAGAGCTCGCATTAAAAATCAAAAACCGGCAAATAATAGCAAAAAAAAAAAAAAGCCGATATTGGACGGGTGTACCACACTGAACTATGAACTAGTATATAGTTCAGTGGGTGTACACTACTGCAAATATAGGTGAGCAGTTGGGAAGGTGGAATACATAAAGTTATTTAATTTATGTCGGTAATTTGATCTATATATTATATATAATATATATGTACAGCAGTATAGATACACTTAATTATTATATATATAAATTTTGAAATAGGTAGATGAAAATTTGATTAATTACGAAAATAATTAAAACAACAATTAATTTAATATTAAAACGAGATATAAATTTAAAATTAATTAGAAATACTTCGCACGACGGGTGGGATACTGTTATAAGTGAGAAGTTGGGGAAGGATAGGGGAAATTTAATGTATATCTGTGAGCAACAAATAATCATTGCTAACGAAAAATGTTTCTGAGCAGAGTTCAGTTATATAATTTTTTGAAAGGTCGTAATTAGGGAACGGACTTTAATGCCCCCAAAAACAAGAAAAATGTCATAAATAATGACTTAATGCCTTAAAAAATGCACTAAAAAATATTCTAAAAAAATTTTGAAATTCAATAAAAAAAAAACAAACAATTTTGAGCAATTTTGTGTAAGTATTATAATTTATAACACTATTTCTTTCATAACACTCTGAACACTTTCACTACACTATTCGAATTAAACGAACACTGACGTACGACTAATGACTACGAGTACCTACTACTCAGACCCCAATATTTGTATATTAGTTATTTGCCGTTATCGCGTATCGTAACGTTATCGAGAATATTTACGATTAGATTACCTCTTTATCGGGAATATTATTAATATTTTTGAAACTTTGAGAATTACGTATAGTTATAACCAGCAGGTCATCACAAAAATGACTAATTTTAAAACTTTTTATAATTCCAAACAAAAATATACATAAAATGTAAAATCGTAGTTATTAACCCCGTAGTTATTAATTTATTGCAATAATACATTTAAAATTGATTGACTTATGAACAAAGTTTATATTTGCAAATTACCGCGCATTACCATTGCATACAATAGTCTATTACGAGAGGATATATAGGTACCTATTGGACTTCCTATTTCCACCAGACGCAAATGTCTTTTGTGTTTTATTTTATCCCTTTCACCAAAAAAAATTAAAGCAGTTTTAGCTGATTTTTTAGGTTAGGCGTTAGGTAGGTAAATACGTTTACTGGAAAAAATAATTCGTTACATAACTTTTAAACTTAACTTTAACTTTTTAATTTTTTAATAACTTGAATCGCGCCAAAATATTTTTATAATTCAAGAATCACGGGTGTCCACGTCTAAAGAATACTAATACGAGTATGAATTTTCTGAGAGAATTTTAGGTCACTATTTATTAATTTATATTGAATTACACACAAAACAAAATCGATTTTAACAGAAACCGTTGTTCAATAAATATCCCCATTTATCCGATTTTTTTTCTGATTTTCTCCATTCTAACAAAATTTAAAACACTAGTCTAATGCACTGAACAAGATATAAAATTGTTTACCCAAACCACCATCATTGGTATTGATGATTGGAACTAATTTCTGGTTAAAAAGTTGTTAAAAATTAAATTATTATTAATCTTTTTATTTAGGTATATTAATTTTTGTTATGAATTTATTGTTGTAAAAAAAAATTCATAGGCCTTCTCCCCCTAAGTGTTTGCCCCTATCACTTTCTCAAATACTCCATTGTGCGCAAAGGACAGTGTCTGCTGTTATAGTCTAATACCTTATTATTTGCCTGTCTATAATTTATTTAGGCCTACTTACCTGTTTAACAACGTTTGACGTTTGCAATGATTTCTGACAGTATCTATGGGTTCTGTGTATTATTCCGAATTTATCGGTTGCAGGATTTCCGTTACCTACAAGAAAAATAATTTTAAAACCACAATAATATGTAAAACCAATACTGAATAAATAAATAACTATAGGTACCATAATATAATATAAGTTTTAAACATTATTTTATGTAATATAGGTAGGTAAAATATATTTTATTAATTTGTGTCAAAATATTAAATACTATATTACCTACCTAGTAACGTGTAGGTAATGCATTTTTCTGAATGTACAACTAACGTTCGGTAAACAATCACGAATCCTAAAAACCATAAATGTATTAATTGTTTCATATTAATTATATTATATATTTGTTTAAATATTTTAATCGACTCGATTGTATTTACATATGTATTTATATATGTTAATCTGTAAATAATGTGCGTGCATTATAATATTAATAATATGTACTATTCAAATGTACAATATGTATTTTATATTAAGTCATATATGAAATACATATATTTCCATAACAAATTTGATTAGCAACCGCACGAATTTGAATTGTTTATATAGGTACATTCATAATTAATTGATAGATGACTAAATATTATCCCAATCAAGTTTTTATCATTTTTAATATTTACCAAAAACAATTCACACAATCTAATTCTTCCAATTTAAATATTTTTCAAAAAATATTTGAACAAAGAACATGTAGTACGGACAGTCAGAGCTTAGGCATAGGCGCAAATAGTATTCAACATTTGGCGGGGGGGGGACCTTTTTGGTCTTATGCTATTCTTTACTCTTATAGGTAATATATTTCAATGTATTATTAGTGAAATGTATTAATTTATTTTGCGGGGGTTAAGCTTCCAGCTGTCCTCCTTATTGTGCCTGTGGGCACAGGTGTGTACACTGTATAATATTTAGTTACTATCCAGCCAGTATTGCGGTATTATATAATACATTATAATACATTACAACAGTCGTTATACGTGCTAAGTAAAAAGTAAAATAAAAGCGCAGTATCAGCAGTGTATTTTAATATTGAACAGTTTTTATATAATCCATAAAAACCATTCTTATTTTTTCAACACATAATTATAAATTTATTAAATTAATTGACTTCTAAGTTCTAGTTTATGTTAAATAATCGCAAAAAATGTGATATTATAATTTGTATCACTTATTAAATCACTACATTCATTTTTTGTATATATTTCTTTGTTATTTTATAATTGGACACACGCAATTCTTTAGTCATTGCTTAAGATGTACTAACTTTTCTCATAATAAATTATAAACTAAAAATATAATTAGATTAGGTATCGATCTGTTGTCAAACTTTGAAATAATTGGTTCTAGACCAATGCCAGACACCAGTTAAACACCAACTTTTGAATACAAGACTATTGAAAATATTAACCTTGGATCAATTAGATTTTATTATTAATTTATGTATGTTATGACTTGTTTGGCTTCCATTTTAATATTTAAAATTTGCTTTTGTATTTATTATTATTTAAGAGAGACAATTTAATTTGACACACATTTTTAATTGGGTAACGACCTCATGATCAATTAAGTGGTGGTACCTAACCCCCAGGCTAAAACTATGACTTATTGTTAACCGATACTTTATGTCGAGGTATAGATTATTGTTTGAATAAAGGTTTATTGTTATTAATATAAAGTAAATTTATTTATATCAAGTTAATATATTCTATTTCACTAATTCTCTTTAACTTCCATGTATTAAATATTTAGTGTTAAGGTACCTAATCATTAAATATTTCAAAAAACAATATTTTTTAAAATTGTTAATTTAAAAAAAAAAATGCATTGAACTCCTATACTCCATTGATTGAATATCACATGTTTTTCATAGGTTGTTACTTTGTTCATTAGTCCAGTTTTTCTATGTTGATTGATAGCAAAGTGGCCCTAGAATTTGGGACAGGTGCAGCCACTGTTGTATGTGGGAAGTTGGGAAGGTAGGATATAGACATGAATTTAAGGTAATAATTAATAACTATGAATTAACCATTAGACGAAATAATGATTCTGATTGAAGTTCAGCTGATACTTAGTGTTGCTTTGTCAATATATATATATGTATGTTTTTTTATTGGACATAAAGTACAAATTTTTATAAACCCCTATTCAATTTTGAAAATAAAATTTTAGAAAGGCAAATATAAGTTGTGTCCAAATGTCAAGTCTACAAATATTTTAAACTGAATAACAAATAACAAAATTGAAAATAATAATAATAATAATAATAATAATTATTATTTTCAGGTTTTTCCTAAGTTGTATCTGTTCTCCTAGATATTATGATAACCCTTTGGCAAATTAAAAAATGTTTCCCCTTAAAGTACCATCTAGATTCTGAACAATAATTATTTTTAGAGTAGGCGCTACACTTACACACTGAAACAAGATTTCAGGAATACATTTTTGTCAGAGTTTAAAAATAAAAAAAATAAACATCATTGTAAAAATAATATATTCTTTATTACACTCGGAATCTAAAAAATATAAGTAACAAATCATAGTTTTTATTTAATTGCAGTAAAATTAAATTATATTTTGAAAAAAATACTACATATAATCTAGTAATAATATCCTAAGTCAGTATTATGGTTACTTCTAAAGTACTTTGAACTTATTTGTAAATTGTATTGATTGGAAAACACATCTAACACCACTTATACAGTGGTGTTAGATGTTTTCCTCTGTATCAATTCTTGCTGAACTACATTCTTATTGTTTATCAAACATGAAATCTCATTTAATACAGCGACACAGTTCATATATTGAGGTATACCTTATATTTCACAGGTATATTTTTCCAATCATCTAACAATAATTTCTATGTTAAAATTTCTGAAACAAAAACAGCATACAAGAGAAAAATTAATTTTTATTGATTAAGTTATGAAGAAAAAAAATTTTGTATTTTATATGGAGGTTTTAAAAATGTAATTAAAATTTATATATATTATAATCTAGTCTAAACTTTGTTATGTTTTAATGACATAATATAATATCATTATTATTAAACCACATTTGAATTTTTAGTAAAACTACAAGATTAATGTATGATTGTGG